GATAGGACTATCATAAAAATAATTTCTTTTAGTTACTGCGAACACATAAAGTGAGCGCATTAAATAATTTTATGATCGATTTTAAAATGAGTATGGGGAAAATCTGTTGTCTCAACTTTCAGGTGCCGTTCCAACACGTTTAATTGCGAAAAAGTTACTGCTTTCAAAATATATTTATGGTGTACTATATTTTTTGATTAACCCATTTTATTTGAAATATCTAACTACATATTTCTAAAAAATAAAGAACAAAAAACATGGAATTTAATTTAATGTTAAATGCTCATAGTATTTTCATAAAAAGTATTTTGTCCCATAAGAAGTATTTGTTTTATTAGTATATTAGTAGTGACACAATTCTCATTTATCTCGTCTTTAGCTTCATTGTAAAGCCATGAATAATAAATATTTTTGTCCCAGAGCCACTTTAGAATTTATGTTTTCATAATGTTTTACTATCTACTGTTTGCATTATTCAATTAGTCATCAATTTCATTTTTCTCCCTTAGTTGTTCTCTTTTCGTTAACAATAAACTGATAATGAAATATAGAATTATGTATGTAAAAGCTTCGAAAATGGAATAATTCTACCTGCCATTATATCGTTGAGATATAAGAAGAACTAGCACTAAATTTTATTTCAAAGTGTTGCGAATTACAGTTGGATTATTTTTTTACGCCAATTGCAACAGAATCCGCAGTCCAGTTGACGCTACTACAGTACCGATCTTGACCCAATTGAACTAGGCCGGAGAAATTACGTTACATCGGATATTTACAACAATAAAAAAGAACGATAAAAACAGGCCTGATGTTTTTATCGTTCTTTGATTTTTCGTTCCTGACCAGAGTTATCAACTAAATTCTATGTGTGGAAATAGTAAAAATCAAGTCACAAAGGTGATAGAAAAATTGAAGATCCACAATCCTTGGTACTCAGAAGATATAGTTTATCATATTTTTCGCACAAATTTTGATGACGAAAATGAATTACTATCCCGTAAATCATTGTACCTACTTCTTCACATTAATCACATTTTATGTAATGCAACAGTTTGCATAGTAAACTATTGAATACAGCGTATTAAACTACATAGTTACAAATTAAAATTTAGTAACACGTATTGCTCTATTAATTGACAAGTTCTTTACTATTTTTTTGTCTGTACTATGTTGACCTTCAACAAGCTACAACTATGGTTTCAGGAAAATTAGGCATTGCCTGGAAATTAGTAGGCATTTATGAACAGCTAAGGCAATTGAAAATTAGTTAGTCTTTCAAGGGCATTAGAGGAAACTTGATATTACCAATTATGTATGGATTGAATACAAAGCCGAATTGAAAATACATACCGTGCATTTAATTTATTTTAAATGAATGTTCAACCACCAAGTGAACAAGTGAAAACTCTAGCGATAATAATTTCAATTAAAATATCTTTAATTGTGGTATCTAAATCACTAAACTAACAATTTACCTGAGTAAAAAGGATTAACTGAGAAAAAATCACAAAAACTCGGTTTAAGCATATAGCTGTGATCATATCTAAGTCGGAATTTATCGTTTTTGAGCTCATTTATATCTGTTATCAAAGTGTGTTGTGCATGTATTTAATGAACGCACATACTATATTAAACAATACATGTTATTATTCTCTCAAAATGTATTGTTTAGTTAGCATGTAGGTAGGCATTTGTTTTGACAATATTTGGCATATAAATACAGCTGTAATACGCAATAGCAAAAATAAGTAAGCCATAAGTAAGTAAGTAATAACTCGCTTTTCAGAGTTTTAGCCAGTAACGCGATATAAACGTATTTAAAACTGAACCATGTTGAATAAAATATGTCAGACAATATTACTGATAGACACTGTACGAAAGTGTTAGTGGCGACTGATTTCGGTTTGGAGATTTAAATTAGTCTTCGAAGTCCTCGGACTTAACTGCACCACTTTTTTGCTGTGGTGCTATTTAAATGTGACGATTTTTGCAACTCGCGCAATTTATGGAGAATGTATCACATGGAGATGTATCACATTCTCCATAAATAATAAATACATTTAAATAATCTTCGTTTCTATAATTTAAGAGTCCGAGCATAATTATTAATTATTTTCAAAAGGTAACTGACAGCTGTCAGCGTTTCTTTGGCATTTGATTGTATTAACAATGCCCACTTTCGTCATGGTAGCTAAGAGTGACAGGATTTAAAATGGGGTGTGGCAAAATAGCCATTTGAAAACATTAGATTGACAATATTTCGAAAACTAAACACTTTTGGAATAGACAACTTTACCGAAACTTACCCTTATTTTTAATACTAAATAAGATACAATTATCAAAAATGGGGTTTCCATTTGAAAAACTTTATTTTGGGCCGTTTTCGCGGCGTCATTTTTAGACTTATTTTTTTAACCCTTTGTATTAATAGTTATCAACATTTTGCCGAAATTCCATTAAAGTAAGTCCTTTTCATCAATAAATGCGACTCAAATCAAGTATCTCATACTCCCTTATATGTAGGAAAAATGAATAATTATTCGAGTGGCTGCAACAGTAATTCTTTACATAAAATATCAAATATATCAAAAACGATTAGACTTAGGGATAGGATATTATATATGAAATATATTCAGAATTTGGAGTAGAATTCAAAAATGTAATAATATATAGGGTGTTTCATTTAAAATAAGCAAGTTGATACCTACTTCCGGTATGACCGGAAGTGTGGCCATCTTGAAAATATTTTCAGCCGCTTGTCCCCATTCACTTTGGTACTGTCCAATTTTCAAATTTCTCCTTTAGAACTTTGGCCACCCTGTTTTTGCATCTAATTTGAAATTCAGAGAAAAATGTTAAATACAAAAGTTGTTTAAATTAGCTGCAAAAACGGGGTGGCCAAAGTTCGAACAATATTGATAATTAACTCAAAAACAGTTGAAAATCATTCTAGAATATTTATATCGAATAGGCTTAGAATTGTGCGAATAGTTCGAATATGCAATAAAAACTATGGCATTCGACTTAAAAAAAAGGTAAGTTTGGTCTGCCACTTGAATTTGAGACACCCTGTATCAATAGGTATTATTTTAAAATAAACTAGACGTGAGTATCTACAACTTCTGTATCTAACATTTTTCTCTAAATTTCCAATTAGATTCAAAAATGGGGTGGCCAAAGTTCAATCAATAATCCTGTACATACTAATACAGGAGCAACCTATTGAATTGACCACAAATGAGGAGTTGAAACCAATGTTTTAACAATGATAATCCCAATTTTATATCCAGTCTTCGTAGTTGGTTCGTGGATTCAGTGTGGTTCTGAGCTTCGCAACAAAAAAAGAAGCAGACTAGAAATTAGTACTCGTGGGGATTTGCGGTCGTTGCTCGCAAACATTGAGCCGGACATAAATATACCCATAACATCCCTTGAGGTTGATTCAAGTCATTAATTTATTTTGAACTTGAAGTTGTAATTTGGAAAAAAATTCTTGAAAAAATGTTTTATGTATATTTTATTTTTACGTCACTATTGACCATTCAAGATATGAAAGTTAAACTTTGAATTTGTCTATTATACATTTATGTAGTTGTTATCCAGAGTCCGTGGAAAAGTTTTGACTATGATCCGGGGTCCGTGAGCCAAAAGAGTTATCGGTTGCTTGTGATCCAATTTTTTACTTAGTAGGTACTTGAAATCCTGACCACTTTTGTGCGAACGGAATGCTGTCTTGGAAAGCCCTTAGCCGTTTTAGTCATTTTACTCCCATCTAAACGATGATTTCCATTGAAATGGAAATAAAAGAAATTAAAAAAATACTTCTAATAATTAAAAAATACGGTGGCGTAATATTTTTTCCTTAAACAAATTCGGAAGCGTGCAGGTACGCACGCCACTGGCAAAAATTAACAATTTTTTTATTGCGAAACATGCGCTTTATTCCTACAATTGATCTGTGTAAAATTTTGTTAAATGTCAACAGCCTGTAAATACGTAACAAAATGTTTTGGGGCTATCGTCTATATAGCAAATTAGGGTTATTCGGGCCTAGAATACGTGGATAAAATAATATCCGTTCCCCATGAAATACCTTGAACCTATATAAAAATGCACATTTGCATAGGAGTCAGTCAGGAGAGTCAGATAGTCAGGAGGAACTCAATATTAAATACATATATTATTTTATTTGTATTCGCATGGGATCTCTCAATTGCAATTCGATGTGAAGAAGCTACTGGCAAAACTGGGCTAAATTATTTTTCATTTAGTGAATATTTTGCATTGGATGAACATACTTTGGCCCTGAGGTCCTTAGCTTAACAATAATATTAACATTGAATAAACTAAGAATTGAAAACAAGCAGTGTCATAGCTGTTGTTCTGCTTACTAGTAGTCAATGGTTGAGTTGGTGAGGATTTATCTTAATTACAAGAAACATTTGAGCAGGTTGCTAGTTAAATTGAATGATCTACAAACAAATATACGTATCTAAATTAGTTTACTACTCTCAATTCCATAGTGATGCAAATGAATGATAACCTACAGAGTATACTTAAGCTAGGATTTACTTTTATTGCTTATGGTAGAGTGAGGAAAGGTGCAAGTTCTCCGTTTGCAGATTTTGAAAACATCATAAATTATATCACGATGTTGTCATAAAATACTATCCATAACCTCACCAGCAAATGCAACACAGAAGTAAAATTGACATGTTAAAGCTTATTCAAATGGAAATTTGTCCAATTGATTTGATCCTAGTTTAAATAAACAGTAATATTAAATATTTATAGAAGATATAAGTGGATGTACTTAAGGTTAGAAGCATGTGTGGACTATTTATAAAACCTCAATATCAACTAAAAAATATCCGAACGTTTGTTTATATTAGTGAAACCCATTTCTCACAGCATGAGCTTCATGATGAAGGATTCAAATCTTTTTGAAAAGCTGGAGATATTAATTAAATAATAGATAGATGATTTAATTAACTTACGTCTGCAGTATTTTCCTAATAATCTCAAAATCGACGATTCACACGTACAAGTTCAAAAACCACTGTTTTTCGCCTCCACTTTGACTAGGTTAGATGGGATGTATTTCCCTCTCTCCAACACACAACCGCTAATTTTCTTGGTGAATAGCCCACTAAAAACCACGATGAAAATTTTTTCGCAAATGACGTTTATCTATCTGAAACCCGACGGTCCATCCAACCTAAACGGAATCAGACGGAATGAGAAAAGTGGAATACACTAGTGACTAGTGACAGTAGTGACTAGCCGGTAATTTCAATAAATTAATGACCTGGTCTCGCTCAAGTTCCTATCTCTTTCACCCTTATGTAGCCTGATTGCGAAACAAACAATAATCGATACAGAAAAATTGAATTGAAGACAGGAAAAAGGATCAAAGAGTAGGGCGGTAATTTTATTTCAAATGTGGAATCGAGGCACTTGTCTTTATCTATGGCCAGTTGCTGACCAATTTTACTTAAAACTTTACAGGTAAATCCAGGCGTTACCTGCAAGTGTCAGTTTTTTTCTGCCAAACACACATATAGTCTTCAAACGTCAAAATTTGAATTATTTTAGTTCTAAATCCAAAAATGTTAGATGTTCCTATAATTCATCTTTTCTTTGGCATAAAAAGCATTTTTTTTCTCTCTCACTAAGTGCAAGATGATACAAAAAGAGACGACTAACAATCTGTTTTTTTTTAAATTAAAATTAAAAGCATATGCAAATTGGATCTTTATTCCGTCTTGAAGGGGAGCCCAAAAACCAGCGTGTTTTCGAACCCTAGGGATTACTATCTTAATGGAATACTATTATGATATACAATAATATACTGTAATATGTGGCTGACGACATTCGGGTCAGTCAGGACTCCCGACCCAACACAACGCCACTGACCTCCGCAGCAGCGTTGCCAATCGTAACTAAAAGCCATAGATGACGACAACTAACAGCTACATTTTTGTATAATTGTTGAAAATGCCTCACTTGTCACTACTAGTATGTTAAGGCTGCGGTTACACTGTCAGTGCTTTTGTACGAATTAGTGCACGCTACTACTGCACACTATAACAGTATAAGCGATGGTTTGTTTAATGGATCAATACATTTTAACAATATTATTAATTTAGTTTGACGAAGCGTGATATGGATTTACAATATTTGTATGTACATTTTACAAAATAAGGACCAGAAAAGCGTGTTTTTATTAAATTTTGCAATTGAAGAAAGCTGAAATCATGGAAATTTAAAAGTTAATTCAAAACTCCTGCTCCAAAACGTTAAAAAATGGTCTGATTTTCGGTCAATAAACGTAAATTTCATTCAGTTCTAGTCGCGCCCACTGGAACAGCGGCAAACAGAATTCTACAGTTTGGAATGAAGATTCCAATCTATAACCTCTGTGATCTGTGACTGTCATTGTTGCAGAGAAGAGACACGGATAGGGTTTTGTGGTAGGATTAGGCAGTTGTGAGTGTTCTGTGATAAATTACACTGTATATTTGGATTGTTGAGTAAATTAAAAGAGAATTTCAATTAAATACCGCGATGTCGACGTCGGGCGATTTTGGCAATCCTCTAAGAAAATTTAAGTTAGTTTTTCTAGGAGAACAGAGTGGTAAGTAAGTGACGTTTGTCTTGATGAGTTGTAAACTTTTAGTTCAGGCGTAGTCAAAATGATCAATAAATAATGATTCCCTTTTCGTAATATGCAGCTTTATGATGCCCGGTCGATTTTTTATAATTTACCTAAATATTCCAACGTATTATTCCCTTAAATTTTTCATACATTATTTAGGACACAGAATGTCATCCAGAACTTTATTTACAGTCTCATACTTGCTCTGGTACATGATCGAAATCACAAAAAAGAAACAAAAACCCTCTAATTAAGAAATCCAATTCTTTAAGTCCTGATATACATTTACAAAATAGTTAGCTGGTGAATCAAGAGAAAAAATGACATAGTCAAATGTATACCTAATACTCAATAATTCTTACATCAAAACCCGATGTTCTATTTAAGTATTTTAAAACGTGGTTTAATATTTATTTTTAATTTACCTAAAAAATATTTGATAATACAACTGCCCTATTTCCGTGCAATAGGCAAAGTGCATTTGTGGGGGTCAGCGACTCATTCATGTTATTGATTGTCCATGCAGTTATTTTAATGAGATTACATTTATTCAGCAATTTTTTAAATAGAAACTCTGCTTTCTTGTTAACTTCGGCGTCCAAGTCTTATTATATCTAACTTTGACTTAGGTGATATTCCAAAGGGACACAAAAAGTGTTCTAAATTCTCATGATTTCAACATAAACTAAATTGATATTTTCATCTTTTTCAGTGGGTAAAACTTCTCTAATTACGAGATTTATGTATGATAGTTTTGATAATACTTATCAGGTAAGGCAAAAATTTATTAATTCACTCTTTTGTAGCAAGTTTGCATCTTCAATAATCTCAGCTATTTTTTATAATTTGGTTTCTGGCCCTTAAAAACCGAATAATTATAACATTACAAAAAGCAAAATGTTGTTAAGCAAATAGTTGCCACCGTTGCAATTAGCTTTTTATGACAGAGTAATTTAATAATTTTTACTTAATAATCCAAAAACATGAAAACACACTTTAAGATAATAAAGTACTTATCAATATAGCTAGACTGAGTCATTGTGTTTTTTTTTAATCGGTCAGATCTTGATAAACAATTATTTTGTTCTGCTTAATCTGATTCTATTTTACTGTTATGTATTTGTTGTGATTGAAGTCAGGCTGCATAAAACTAGGACTGACTCGAAATTTAATTGTTATACTAATTTATAGGCAACAATAGGAATCGATTTTCTGTCAAAAACAATGTATTTAGAAGACAGAACAGTCCGACTGCAGCTGTGGGACACTGCTGGACAAGAACGGTTCAGATCGTTAATTCCTTCGTACATTCGAGATTCCACAGTGGCTGTAGTAGTTTATGACATTACAAGTAGGCTCATTCATAAGTTTCGGATTAACATTACAACCAACCGAGCACCTTTTTAGATGCAAATTCGTTTCATCAAACATCAAAATGGATTGATGATGTAAGAACTGAAAGAGGTAGTGATGTAATAATAATGCTCGTTGGCAATAAAACTGACCTCTCAGACAAGAGGCAGGTCAGCACCGAGGAAGGAGAACGCAAAGCTAAAGAACTAAATGTTATGTTTATTGAAACTAGTGCCAAAGCAGGATATAATGTTAAGCAAGTGAGTTTGTCTGATATATATATTAGCCAGTTTGTTCGCACTTTCCTGCTCCTGTTTTGTCCTAACAAGAATTTCAAAGCTAATTTAATGGCAATTGTTATTGTCTTTCAGTTATTTAGACGTGTAGCTGCTGCCCTGCCCGGTATGGATTCAACGGAAAATAAACCCCCAGAAGACAGTATCCTTTTTCTGAACTTGTGCATGCTTTTACCAAACCATAAGTTCCAATCTGAATTATTTATTCATAGATATGGCTTTGCATGCCTCAATATATTTCTGCATGTACATCATTTGTTTGTTTTTTATTTTATTTTCCTTAATGAAATGATCAGTGCAAGAAGTTGTTCTGAAAGACACACCCAATGAAGTGAAAGATCCTGATGGAGGCTGTGCATGCTGATTTTAATTTTAAACGTTGTACCTAAGTTTATACATTGGTTGCTTGACAATAATATGTTGACAGAAGAATGTCTAAGATTTTCAATTTTACTTTTCTTCAAATAATTTGCAATAGTCAATATAACGGAGTCTTAACAGTCATTTAAATTTAACATTTAATACAGTTAAGCCTATGTTTAAAGCACAAAAATGCCATAAATAACGTACTCTTTGATCTATAAAGCCAGTGTTCAATTATGACACATTAAATGGCTTACCTAAGAAGTATTGTCGACCAATCATATGTATTCTGTTTATATATGTTTATTTTGTAAAAAAAATATTTGTTTTTTACATTGCTGCCTTACTTAGGAATTTTAGGTTATTTGTAGATTATTTTGTACGATTTCCGAATTCTCGACAAGTTTTCTCTTGAAAATCGGCAAAAATATGTTAAATTCAAATGTCAGGCACCCAGTAGTAGAGTTCTTCAAAACTATATTCATCATAAATTAATTTTGTTTCTAATTGAACAAAGCCTTCGTTATTTGATGATTCTAACACATCAGCAGAAATTGAAAATGGTATCTTTTAAAGTGTTTATGGTTGCAATTCGTTTTTGCGTAGCTGAACAAGCAATAATATATTCGTAAATTTTTGTGCAATACTATAGAGATTATCATACAGTGATCGAAAGTGTTAGTAATATTGCAATAGGTTTTGACAATTTCAAGATGAAAATATAATTTAAATATTTATAACACATCAATTAGTATTAACGCCTGTGGAATTAATTAATCACTGTGATGTTTTTATATTTGCCTCACCATTTATCAGCTTTAGTAGATACTTTTTCTATATGTATTGAAAACTTTACATCTGCCTGAATGTGTAAAATAGCAAGCTCCACTTGAATATGCCTCCCAGTGTATATTGCTCAAAATTTTGTAAACATTGCTATAGTATTATCCTTCTATGTGCATTTATATCACTTAGTAATTTATTTATTTTTAATGTATTTATAGTAAATAACTAACTTAATTATTTTTGCAGTAGAGGTCAATATATTTCAACAAATTCATGTACTGTTTCGTTAGTTTAAAATTAGTAACATTATTTTTTAATTTTTCACTTTGGACCCAAATTATTGATTTTCAGAACAATTCCCTTAAAAAAGTTCTTTGTTCCCAATTTTCGTTATAAAAAGATTATTATTTACCAAGAAAACATTTATCTGGTTCGAACTGTAGTAAAACTAACACTATCTAATATGAACAAAAGCAGGTTACAGGCGAAACTCACCTTTTTCTATTGCTAACTACCTGAAGCCATGTATTCGGAAGAAACTGCAGGATATATATTTTTAAGCTCAAGCGTATAAATGTTATCACAATAAATTAATTTCTTTATGTTGCAAAGGCTACTGCTTTCTTCATTAATGTTAATTTAAATGCAACAGAAGTCAATTATAATTATTATATTATAAGAAAGTAGTAAATTATTGCTTCAACCACTTAAAATATATTTTACTAACGTATAAAGTACACTTTGTTTTAGAGTTTTGCAAACGTTTGTACTTAGCTTTTGTATGCAATTTGTAGCCTGAACGCCCACGAAATAAATTTAATATCAAAACTCTTCATTAGTTTGTATATTCTTGCTTTCATTACCTGCATATAAATATATTGGCTTGAGTTTGTAGTTGGTGCTTATTTAAATGCATATTGCACTGTTTTTAACATTTTCCTTAATTCATGATTTCTAGCTGTCGACCTCCAAACTCAGCCTCAGCTGCAGAATGACCAACAAGACTCCGAAGGTGGTTGCATGTGCTAAATCGTGCCATCATCCAGCAAATATTTTTAGGTTCAAGGAAAGTAGTCTCTGCCTGTATTTAATGTTATAAAGTATTCTATTGCACTAGACATTTTTTATATTCCTGCACAATATAATTGCAAAAATAAATTAACAAAATTATTTTAGAACGTAGGATCCCCAAGTATTAATGATTCATTAGTTATGCTAATAATTGGGTTGTTTGAGGCTAGTATTAGTAGTGTGGGAGACACGATGGGTCCCGCGAGTAGGCCTTAAATGCCCCTTTCGCCATTGTTTGAGACTAAATGAAAAATTATTTTTTTGATAGGTTCTAAGGTCTCATTTTTATATGGAGGTCTAGTGTAATAGAGTCCTAATCGCTATAAGTGTGATATTCTAAATATTGACAAACTGCACTACGTATTGTGGCAAGGGACATGCATTCACAATTATTGCAATCATAATGTGTAACTTAATAAATATCTTATCATTACCGTTTTTGTCGCTCTTTTTAAGTTCAAATTACTGTACAGCTCAATCAATTTTATACATCACCATGCTTGTTACGATTTTTAGAAATAATATATGTGAAATAAATATGTTCTGGTTATATATCTTTAGAATTATATGGTTTGGCATTGCCATATATTTATAGTTCAAATTAATTTATATTGTATTTTTTTTGCTTCAATAAACACCTTTTAAGCAAAGCGCCTCTAATGGGGTGAACATGGCAAGTGGGGTCATTTGTTGTCTCGGAAATACCAGTTTTCTAAACAAAATACTTACACTTCATTAGAACATGGTGCAAGAATGAAAACCCGTTTCAAAAGCGTCCAATGTTCAAAAATTAATTCTGAAAAAATCAGAAAAGAAAACGAAATTCGCTTGAAATATACATCAAAAGCTTCGACGAGATCGACTGCTAGAACCCATATTTTAAAAAAAGAAAAAAGGTTTATTTAATATTTCACCCGCGGTCAGAATAAGATATATAACGAATTTCAATATAAAGTGCAATTCTTTTATTTGCGTTCGAAGTTTAAATAATCTAGAACTTTAAGGGGACACCCAAAAACATTGGGGTTCCTTCCCAAGTATTCCTCTGTAAACTGGTATGCAGAAAATTATGTAACTTGTAATACCAATAATTTCTTAATGGTGCCCATACATATTTTTTGTTTAAGATTCCTCCTGACTGACGTCATACCATACTGCTTGCGAGAAAACAGAATAATTTTATTTTATTAGCTCGATGGTATTTATTCCATGTTAATAAAACTTTGTCTTCATTATGGTTTTGATGGTTTGATTGATGGATGGATGATAAGTTTATTTTGATTTTTGTACTTTGAACTGTAGATTTTAATCCCAGTGTAACTTTATTTCGCAATCAAACAGAAACATTCAGTGGCTGAAGAAAACTAGCTCCTTGCAAAATGTTTTCAAGACATTTAACCACTAGAGTAAGTATTTGAAATTATAACCGTGGGCCTTGAATAATCCCCAAAAATTTGAAAGTTTACAGGACAATTCCAAAGGTTTCAAAGTACCCTTTTGATTGCTGAACATAACAATGAAAGTCTTCTACCAATTACGCAAAATGCTTTAACAGCAGCGAAGAAATTAGGGGGCGACATATCAGTTTTGGTAGCTGGCACCAAATGTGGCCCCGCTGCCGAACAGCTTGCCAAAGCGGAGGGTTTATCAAAAATCCTAGTAGCTGAAAGTGATGTTTTTAAAGGTTTCACAGCAGAAAATCTTACGGCTTTAATAGTCGCTACACAAAACCAATTTAAATACACTCATATCATTGCTGGGGCTTCATCATTTGGCAAAACCTTGCTGCCAAGAGTAGCAGCCAAGCTAGACGTGTCTCCCATCTCAGACGTAATTGGAATTAAATCACCGAATACGTTTGTCAGAAGCATATATGCTGGCAATGCGATTCAAACACTGGAAGCCATTGATCCAGTTAAAATTTTGTCTGTAAGGGGAACAAGTTTTGAACCAGCTAAACTGGAATCTGGATCTGCGGCTGTTGAGAAAATACCTGTTGATGGTTGTGACACGCAATTAACTAGTTTCATTAGTCAGGAACTCAGCAAGTCTGATAGGCCAGAACTTACTAGTGCCAAAGTAGTTGTTAGTGGCGGTAAGTGCTGCATTTATTGATTAATATCAAAGCCTGAGAAAATCACCTAATTAATTTACATGATTTGGGGTATTGGCAAGGTTTCTAGATTTTCTACACTGCCAGATTTACAAAAAATACATATTTTAAAATCTAGGAATTTTTTGCATCATGTACTGTAATTAAAAAAAAAACATTTTCTGTTACAAAGTTGCTGTCTATAGATGCTCTTTAACGATGTTATTCAGTAGTTTCCAGTCCTAATTTTCGTTTGATTTTGGCAACTACATTGTGTATTCAAGTATGAATTCTTGCAAACTAGTTCTTTGCCGATCTCTGTAACGTGTAATTTGAGCCACATTAATTTCATTTTGTATCTCGACTTTTGAAATGTTTCGATTAAATGTTTCTCCAGTTTCTATTCGGGTTCGTTTTAGAAGAATCCATAACTATCAGGTTTTTCCGAGTTTCAAAAACAACTGTGATTGAGACGTGACGTGAAAGCCACTACATACTGTACTAATATCGGTTGATATATTTTCCGGGCTTATTTATAAGTGGACCGTTGGAAATGCTGCCTCACGTTTCGTTCAAATCTGCGGTGAATATTATCGAAGTCGACTTCTATATAACTAATAACTATTATCTAACCGATGCTAAAAACACTCTTAAATCCTACTTTATATGGACGGGGATAAATAAAGTGAACAATGGAATGTTGTTGTTAATCAACAGTTGAATGGTCGGCAAATAAAATAATATTTGCTTCTCATAGGCAGAGGGTTGAAATCAGGGGACAACTTCAAATTGCTTTATGACCTAGCTGATAAATTGAATGCTGCTGTTGGGGCCTCAAGAGCTGCAGTTGATGCAGGATATGTGCCAAACGACCTGCAAGTTGGCCAAACTGGAAAAATTGTAGCACCTGTAAGTTATTTATTTATCATTTTACTATAGATATTCACTGAGCAACAAAATCGATTTTGATTTGTGTTGCTTTGCAGGATCTATACATTGCTGTTGGTATTTCTGGGGCAATTCAGCATTTAGCAGGCATGAAAGATAGCAAAACTATTGTCGCTATCAATAAAGACCCTGAAGCGCCCATTTTCCAGGTTGCTGATTATGGTCTTGTAGCTGATCTATTTAAAGCAGTTCCAGAAATGACTCAAAAGCTATAATTATTTTCTAGTCTTGAAATTAAAAATTTACATAGTTATATAGTTTACTAACGTCAATATTTTCAAAAATCTACGCTATTTGAACTTTATTATTTTTATCAATTTTATAATTATATACTGTTTAATAAAACGCAAACTCTTTTACTGTAGTTTATTTATATTACAAATGTTTTAACAAATTGGGAAAATGGACGGAGTCTTGAAATTATCACACTCTGAATCTTCTACCACAAAAACTTGTGTAAATACATATTTTGTTCATTTTAACAGGTAGATATATAAAAAATATAAAATTGTATCACTTAACAAGAAAATACAAAATAGCTAATTCTAAAATCTCTTAATGCAAGACTTATAAATCTCAAAAATACCGAATAATACAATTTCTACGATATAAAAGGCCTAATTGTTATTGTCAATATATAAACATTTTACTTGTTCCCAAAAAATAGAATCCGAGTCAATATACATTTGACAGTCAAAAGTACACAATTTTTTAAAAATTACAATAGAAACCAAAATAAATCCTTGTATACATATATGTTATGGAAATATCACCTTCTATTTTCTACAAATGCCAATTATATTATTAATTGTTCAATATAAATAAAATCTAAAGTCCTTTACAAATATTAAGTCCACATTTCTAAAAAACAACCAACCATATGACTAAGGTGTTCAGGTGATTCGAGCATTGACAAATGACCAGCATCGGGTATTAATTCTAAAAAGGACCTTGGTATCGTCTGAAAAATTAACCAGTATAAATTCCTCAGTTGAAGCTTTTATTGTTTGTTTTTACCCTTTCCATTTCACATTCCTGAACCAAAGTCACTTGTTTATCTTGCAAACCGTGTACCAGCAAAGTTGGCACTAAAATTCTGCGATGAAATGAGGCATCGCCTTCAGGCCAATACTGCCCTTGTATTAAATAATCTCTTATATGAGGAGGTACTGTGGTTTCACCTTCACAAAACCTGAAGTTCTTGCCTCTTGATGAGTAAAAGAAGCTTCTAAAAGCTCAAGCCGTTGTTAAACTGTTAATCGTTATACGAAAATGTACCTTTTTAGACCACAATACATAAATGGATAACATAAATTATGAGCCCAACCATATGGTGATATATCATTCATGTCAGCAGGTGGAGCTAAAGGAGTTGGTCCACCTCCACTTATTAAAACTAACTGTGCAATTTTTGTTGCTCTGTTTGGGTATAAAGCTGTTATTAGACTACAACTGAAACAAACTCAATTAGTATTTTCATTATTTGATTAATACAACGCCTGCAGTTACCCATACGAATGTCCAATAAGGATGCATTTCCTCTTGTCTTCTTTCTTCATAAAATAATCAAATACGGCCATGGTTTGGCTCAATAGATTTGAGAAGTGATAAAAACTAGCTTTGTTAGGAGCTGAACTGTAGCCATGTCCAAGCAAATCAGGGGCAACCACTTCAAATCCTTTAAATAACAGATTGTTGATCAAAATGTTCCAAATATCCGCAGTACTGCCCAATCCATGAATCAACATTATTAACGGCTTTATTCTTTTGTGAACACATTTTTTGGAGTTTGGAGGACTAGACGTTTGTGGTATTTCATATGGTTTTCCATTTGGTTTATTCAAATGGACTTTTCGTGTAATTGCAGAATCCACTTCCGATCTTTCATATGCAAGATTAACAATACCATTCGCTTTTGTCTTAGTACTTTCCATACATTCACTGAGTGCTTCATTTATTGTTTTTTCTATCAATTGATCCACGAATGTTTCTACTTTATCTACCTTACACTTTGTACTAGTGTGTTCAGATGCATGATTTAAACTAGAAAGATTAAATTTTATATAATAGAGGACAGTCCGGATAGTTCCAATTGTTTGTTAATGTTTTATGTAAAGTAATCTGTCTTTATACGCGGAAATGTCATTAGCGCTTGGGCTTTTCAGGATTTTGCGGAACTAGCTAGAAAGCTGTCGAAACGTGATAAAAAGAAACGTTAGAACGATTTAAAAATGCGAAAATCCATTAGTTCGTTCATTTTGCGTAGAACTAGTTCCATTGGAAGTTTACCTGTTTTACGCGTGCCCATTCCTTGGGAAACGCACTGTATTTTTCGATCGAAGATCAAACAAGAGAGTTTCACTGCGTACCAAAATAATTCGACCTTTTTAGTGTAAAGTCAGATCTTCAAGTTTTGCGAGTAAAAAATCTTTCGAGAGATTTAAACAATTATTTTTAATTAATCTTTTTTTTCATACCACTACCTACACCGAAATCCTAAGAAGGAAAAAACTGTCAATTATTTGTTTATCGTTCAAGAAACTATCACTTCTCTGCGTAAGGTTAATGAGAAATACATCGTTTGAGGCGCGAATACAAATTTCCCATAAAATGTTTGCAAATATCTCAGGTGATTCGAGATAATCGTTTTTCCTTTGTTGTTGAGACTCCTAAAGTACTCCCAAACGATACCCTCAAACGGCAGTGGCAGCTTAGGCGAAATAGGTTCCAATATCCGGCATTCTAGTAAGTTAAATGTCTCCTACTTGTAACTGATAAAATTCGCCGCAAAGTTTACAGGGTCGTTATCTTTACTTTCATGCAGTGAAACTCGTTGGATTTTTTTCTAATTAGACTAGATTAATGTTTAGTGAAAGCACATTATTTAACAGTAACCGGATTACTATTGTAATTTATACATTATTAATAGTTACTTATTATGAATGCCGTATGCATGTAATTAAATGAATGTACTTACTCGTTTTGGAGGTGCAAATCTTTTTGAGCTGATGACCCATTAGATATATTGGAATTTCTATACGATTTTCTGATGGAATTTCTAAAAGAACAATTGCAAGTGGTGTTCCTTAGCGGTTTGCTTCTCATAAACCAATATTCATCTGACACAGAGCTTCGTTTCGAAGAGATGTTTTGAGCGATTATTAATGACTGTCGCACTTTTTCGGGAGTTAGATGAACTACCCTTATTTTAATCTTAGATTCAATGAAAATGAACTCACTATCTTTAGGAGGTACTGGGTCGGACGGATGAATTCGATTTGTTGAAGTAATTGCTCCGAATACTGCTCGCCAAGTGTTTGAGACTTTGGGAAGACACCCCTTGGCTGGTAAGACTGTCTCCTCGCTCATCTTCAATCAAATATTATGTCACTCCCATTATAATGCTTCAAATTGTGTTAATAAATTCTTCAGTTAACAACTGCCTACACATATTCACATGCAATGTTTTAATTAATTGTTGCAACTTTTTAACTGTACTAAATTCCTGTCCACTCGTTATGCACATTCACTGTAAGAAAGACGTATTTTCCAACAACGCGAACTGACCGAAATTATGTTAATGTCGCACCAACCATGTATAATGATAAATTATCGCCTATAATCAATCTATTTTCATTAAGTTTATAAACTATTTTCCTGGTTTTGATGGTCGTTGTTTATTCGACATTTACCCAGCTGTTATTTTCTCGAAAAGGAGTAACAAGCGCTGCGCGTGTCGGATCTATTGCATGCTTGGCTCATTTATACATTATCATTATTATTATTATTATTATATTTACATATAAATTAAATTAAATTATTATAACTGATTATTTGCTAACGGTTTTGACAATATTCCTTTTTTAAATAAATCGTGTACACATTTTTAAAAATATCAAGTTAGAGTACATTACATAGGTGGTCCCAAAACACGCCCACCATTTTTACTAACCGCACATATTTAAACAATATAAATAGTCAAGACTAATTAAATTCTAGTCTCATTCATAGATGAAGACAAGTCCCATTTGTCTTTATCTATGGTCTCATTGACTCTGTTGATTAAATCATATTTAGTTTGGTGGAAGAAATGAGGCTATAGCTGCTATATAGGTGTAAAAGTAGCGGTAAAAGTTTCACTTTTCAGTATTAGTTACATAGTGATGTATGTTCGTTCGACCTGAATAGTATTTCACGTATTTTAGCTCATCACAGTATTTAAATAAAAATAGTATTAACAATGTCGAAGGTATTTATTGTCTCAGGATGTCGTACCCCTATAGGTGTGTGCCGATATGTCGACTCAGTTCATAAGTTAAACTCGCAATAATTTTCAGGTAACTTCCAAGGGCAATTTGAAAAGTATGCAGCCTCAGAATTGGGTTCCATAGTTATTGCTGAAGCCCTAGTGAGGGCCAAGGTAAAACCTGAAGATGCAGATCAATGTATAATGGGCCAGGTAATTACTTATTTTGTATTATGTGTTTTATATTACAGTTACACAACATTGCAATATTATTTCTCATTCTTTCTTTTATTGCTTATTAATATTTGAATTCAAATAATAGAGTAGTAACATTTTGTGAACTATATTTTGGCATAAATGAGTCGACATTCTTTCAGTTTTATCAAGTTTAAAACCGGGATCTATCGGAAATGCTTGAAAATATTCGATGTGTCGAAATGCCTTTTTTGGTAAATCGACCCGAGAATTGTCGTTTCACCAATTCGGTGTTGTGAAACATTTCGAAGCTCTTAAAAGGTGTGTTAAAAAGCATAAATTGCATTACTTCAGAAACGGATAAAATAAGCGCAAAGTCTATAAGGTTTCATTTATAGAATTGCCGCTTACTAATTAGACTTGTATAAAAAATTACCAATTATTAGTTCAAAAGTTAGAGGTTAAGACAAAAACCGTAGACGTTTAAAGCTGATTTATCAAAATGTTAAAAAATAACACATGAATCCAACGGCAAATGTAAATTGAAATATTTTAACAATCATGCACTTTGTGAATGCTATTTTGATTTTTAAACAAGCATCTTTAAAAATCAAATTTATTTCAACAGAAAGTAGTTAGTTCCAATTGGGATTTTTAGTTTTACAAAATAGCAGTGAGTTTGTATGTTAACTATTGCCGCACTAACAGATTGGAGCTTTGATGCTTGGCTAAAGCAAGAAACTTCTGTTCGAATGAACCTTGTCGAGAAAAGATTCGGAAGTGGAAGGAAGAAGCCCACAGTAGGGCTAAAGCGAAATTCCCAACCTTCAAAGTGATAGCCCCAAAATTTCATAAAACAATAATAACTAATGCACATTTTCATTTACATTTCTGACGCTGTTGAAGATATGAAAATAACGCGTAAATTTTATTTTCCATGAGGATCTCGATAACCCTCTTTGTAATTGCCCTTTATGATAAATTTTCCACCACTGAATATTCAACAACAGATTCAAGTCATAGGTATAAAATTTCAAGGGGCTCTCGACATTTCAAATCGTTTCAAAGCGTTTATATCTCAAAAACGGCTGATAAAATTTGTTTGAACAATTGTTAAGAACTTGTGAACTTCTGTCCTTCCCTAAGTGCCTTAGTTCTTATCAGAAATATTAGATGTCGTCGAAGTTTAAGATCTTTAATACCACGGAAACTTTTGTTTTTTGTTGTCGATGAGGTTTGGGAAATGGTCTCTTAGGTCAAGAGCGGTTGGTCTCACTATGATTCTTCCGAGATTCGTCCTATTACACAATTAACGTGCAAATATTCGACCTTTTTCCATAGAAAACGTCGGTTTTATGCAAAGGTGTTATCTCTGCTTATAAGTACCCTTTTAAATATTGTGTAAGCGTATAGTTTGAAAGACGCGAAATAGTTGTAAGTAGCTATAAGTTTGCGAACAGATTACATTAGATAACTAACTAACCACTTATCGGCGCTACAATTATCTCTCATAATTAATTTTAAACTATGCTCCTATTATTCGCTCGTTCCTTGAATCAAGAATTATTTGTTGTAAAATTTAAAATCAGAGTTTACTGAAAATAATTTTGTCGTAAATATTTATAGCTAAAAGTATAAATAATTTATATTCTATTTTTCTCACATTGATTAATTTCTTAATACAGTGTTCGAGTATTTTGATACAAGTACAATAAATACGATTTCTACTATGGTTTTTAATTGTAGTTGAAAGCATTAAATCTTATTAAGCCCTATTAATTAATATAGATAATTAATTTCTCAAAACAGCACGGTGTATTATTTTAGCAAAAATACACAAATTAAAGGAAATCACTTTCTTGAACTTTAACAAGTTACAAATTGCCCAACCCGAAACCAAGAAACCAGAAAAAAATGTTTTCATACAATTTTGGATCGTTTTCGATGAAGTCTGAACCTGCCATTTCAAAAAAACAATTTTTTCTATTAGAAAAAAATGGAAATTTGCGTCTACAGCTTTGGTACAATAGTTACAAAAATACGAGATTCACCCAGATCAATTCGTCACCACATCAAAAAAATTGAACCCTGGAAAATATTGTTTCTTTTTGTTTCAGGTCTTGACTGCAGGGCAGGGACAAAACCCTGCACGACAAGCCGCTATAAATGCAAAAATTCCGAACTCCGCCCCGGCCTTAACCATTAATATGTTATGTGGATCTGGACTCAAGTAAGTTAATGTAAAGAAATTATATAACAAGAGGAATACGAGTTGTACGGTAATTATTTTTTGCTAATCAAATACGAATTCGTCTACTCGGATATTTAGACTAACGCCTGCAAATCTCCAACTATGCATTTTAGATCGATAAAAGCGCTTGCAAATTAGCCACTGATCTTCTTAGATATTCGGGTTTATCCATATAGTATTTAGAACGTTGGTTTATTGTAATCGTGGTTCTTAAAGACTATTGAATGAAACTAAAAATTAAAAGTTTGCCGACCCCATAGCTTTGCGAAACATTCATACGTTTCAACGAAACTTGTAAATTAATTTTAATAGCAGTATGCTTAATTTAACGAAGTGACTTACGTTTTTCCAGTTCTTATTACAATACTTACAAGCTTAGGTTTTAAAATATTTTTTCTGCTGTTTACATTTTTAGGTGATTTGCATTTAAAGCTTAGAAAATCCAAAGGTTTATGAATTCAATTTCTATTTTTACTTGTCAGAATAGTTTAACTTAGGAATCGAGGACAACTCATTTGGTTTGCTAATTTCGTTCGTAGCCAAACTAAAGAATGCTTGAAAGATACAGAAAATGGTACCCTTGAAATAATAAAAGTGAATTTAATCGGCTTTCATGCATTTAGAGAGAAATTGCCTGCAAATTAAGGATTTTATCTATGGTGTTTGATAATTTAATGCATATTAATAGCTAGTTAAGAAACCTGGACTTGAACCTACATTTTTTACATAATAATCGGAATTTTGAACTTTAAGCACATTTGTTACTTGTTACAACGTAATATTCTATTGTTGATCCAAAGTCAATAAGAATGCGAGATAGAAAAAAAATGTGTTTATTCAATTATGATGTATTTTCGGTTTAGTTAAACAGCTAAAGTACAGGCTAATTTTTAACATAATTTAATGCTTTATTTCAATGATAAATAACTGGACTTTGGATTAAACGCAAATCTTTCTTCACTTTCTTCAATCAATACATCTTATTAGTATGTATTTTCAATTTTAAATACAACATATTCAATTCTATTGTTTCATGCTGATGCCAATGAATATCTTCAGCTTTCCTTAATATGGCTTCAATTTTTGAGTCACGGTTCTTACATTATATTTTATTTCTTACTGGGTTATTTAAGTGAATAATGGGGCTGAGGGTTAATTTATTTTGAGGTCCTTTTGATAATATTTCACCAAATTCTTTTGTGTTTGACATTCTTTTTGGTTTGTTTCTTGGAAGAGGTTTTGGTAAAAGCTTGAAAGTTATCGTTATATAGAGCACGAACCACTGTCTCCGGCCAGATTTCACTCTTAAGTCTGTGTGACTAAAAATGTATTCTGCTGGAAATACACTTTCGTCTTAAGATAACAATTTAGGAGTTAGACTAGGAAATAATATTGCGCCTTTTGCGATATCTCTAATTCACTATTCGCGTTCGTTAGCTTTTCATGCTCATGCTCTCAGCGTGATGTAATTTAATTGATAGTTAATTTTTACCAATGGAATCAAATACTGAAGGTCACATTAATGCCGAATATTTATCATCATCGTAACGTGGAAGAACAGTTCAATTTTATGCACAGATAATGGAAGTATATAAATATTTCAGCATATAAATTTTACTAAAAAATAAAATTTTTCCTATGAAGTTGGGCAAAACTAGGCATTCGGCGTCTCAAAATCCTTATTGGGCGCAAAGGATTCCAGCGCATGGTCCTAAAATAAAAAAGCAATTCGCAAATGCAAAAAGTTGAAAACGTTTTCCCAAATAAGTGGTCGATTAAATTTTGGATTAATTTGTGGCTTTATCAACCAACCTAAACGCACTGTATTTTAAATATACTCTATAACGATTAAAATCATCAAGCTGAACTATGAAGACGTCTTTGATTTGAAATGGCTTGATCACTATATGCGTAAGCTTTTGCAATTTATTCAAGTGCAAATACGTTTTTGCTCTTCCATCTCGGGCTCCAGATCAATATTTTGCTTTTAGAGCTGTAGCCCTGGGATTCCAAGCTATAAGAAATAAAGACTGTAGCATATTGGTGGCAGGTGGCCAGGAAAGTATGTCTCGGGCTCAACATAGTACATATCTTAGAGGATCCAAATTGGGAGCGCTTAATCTATCGGACACAGTATTGGTTGATGGTTTGACTGATGCTTTTAATAATATCCACATGGGAAATACAGGTTATTTTATAATACAGTTTCAGTAGTATTATAGGTTTTAAATATACTCAAAACGCGCATTCTTTCATAAAGTTCGTTATCTGGAAACTTTTCTTTCAAAACGAATCTTAATCAATAAAGGACAATTGCTAAAGATTAAATTCCAATTCCATAATTGGTCTAGAATTCTTTTTGTGTCATCCTCAATAGCTTTTCAAGTACTTCAAGATACTGGCGATTAGAGGTGTTTATTGCCGTTACTAATCGCTACTCTGAGTCATTCGGTATATTTTTTGTTACTTTGATTACTGTACTAAACCATGGAATAGGGGCGTTGCAAAACTTTCCTGAATTCAAAAATTACAATTCATTATTATTTTTTAGTCTAATCTCTTGATGCAATTGCTTTGAGCCCGTCTCTGTATTTGTTTCTTCTCCAAACACTAATACTCGAGTACCGAATAGTTACTTTTTCAACACCTCTACTGATTATTAATGGTTTTTTCGCATAAAACAATTTGCTTCTCCGCAAATTGTTTTCACTATTATTTAAAGTTTGTTGTTAAATTCTATCCTAAGAAACGGTGCAAAAATTTGTTTGGATTTCAGCCGAACATTTGGCAAAGTTATATAATATCTCCCGGCAAACACAAGATGAGTTTGCCTTGAATTCGCAATCCAAAGCAATAAACGCGATGAAAAGTGGGTATTTTGAGCGCGAAATTATTGGAGTCCCCGATAAAAGGACCAAGGTGCTCATTGTGAAAGACGAATTTCCCAAACTAGATTGTACTTTGGATAAATTGGGAAAACTTAGGCCTGCCTTTGACTCGGTAGGACATCAATGCAAAGCGTGAAACATTCTTAAAGCAATACTAAACATTTTCAGACTGGAACCGTTACTGCAGGAAACGCTTCTGGAATCAATGATGGAGCGGCAGCAGTCATTTTAGCAAGTGAGCAGGAAGTAAATAAAAAACAATTGACACCCCTAGCGGAAATTGTTGCTTTTTCTGAGGTTGGATTGGATCCTATTTGCATGGGGCTGGGGCCTATTCAAGCAGTAAATAAAGTCGTAAGTGTTTAACAGTTATAAAAATGAAAATTTAAGTGAGGTGACGGCAACGGTTCGTTTCAGTTGCAAAAGGCAGGGTGGGCGAAAGAAGATGTTGATCTATTTGAATTAAATGAGGCATTTGCAGTCCAGAGTGTAATCTGTACCAACGAACTTGGGCTTGACCCCAGTGTGGTAAACGTTTCAGGCGGGGCGGTTGCGCTGGGACATCCTATTGGAGCATCGGGTACCCGTTGCTTGGTTACATTGATTTACAATTTAAAAAGATTGAACAAAACTAAAGGAGTTGTTTCCCTATGTATTGGCGGGGGAATGGGAATTGCAATGGCGGTCCAAGTCTGCTGATTTTAAGTACTCACACAAAATTGTTTACAAAAATTAAGTGCCTACGCAATGCGCATATATTTTTACTAGGCAATATTGTCTATTCTTCTGGGTGATTTCATTGGCAATATGCAGGGTGATCCGATGTAATGGAGACCAACCATTTATAGTCTTCAATTTTATTAATAGGCAATGCTGTGTGCCTTAGCCGTGTTGTAGAAGTTCAAATGTGTCTGAAATTGCCCCGCGGTGGTCCGTAGGTTTTTGTTTTCGTAGTTTTATATGCATAATTTTCATTGTAAGTTTCCCGTCACACCTAAAACTTTTTGTCTCCCTTGTTTAGTGTCACCCTGTAAATCAATTGCAGACCATCCGTATTATTATTGAAAAATAGTGTATCAAGTTGTTTGTTATAACTCGACACGGGAAATCTTCATTAGCCCCAATTATTGCTATTAAACAGACAGTCATTTTTTATCTCATAATTTCTTTTCGTAAAATCACATTTTTATAAGGCCTTGATGATTTTTTTTACCGATATAAATATATTTGATTAATGTTGTCATGAACTGGCGCTACAATCACCGGAAATGTTGCCTTTATGCAGACTACATTATGGACAAGTAATAAACATTTTTTTGAAAGTATTATTACATGGACTACAACTTTGAGCAACATAGTTGGACCACCGTGTAAATTGTGTTATGTAACTGATGTAATTTTGAAAGTATATTATTTGCAAGCTTATACATAGTGTTGCATGCTTATTCATCGTATATGACAAATATTTGAATTGAAATCTGTATTTACATTATTTCTTGAAAAGATCAAGTTATTATATACATATAATAGTAGATAATTGCAAACGCAAATTTTAATATATATTTGAAAACATGTAGTGTGGAATTGTAGTATTTTATGAAATTTATTAGGAGGTATATGATTGGTATTTAAAAATATATAGACATTTAAAAACGTTGGTTTTATTAAAGTAATTTAAGTAACGGTTTAACAATAAAATGTCAAGCATTAAAAGCTCTATCAATTTAAAAATATACAAATTCAGCTAAAGTAAGAAGATAATATGGGCACATAACTGTCGACAGGTGCAGGTGAAAACGGGTGCGCTCAATTACACAAATAAAGTTATTTAACATTTAACAATTTATTTGAATGCATATTCTTTTAATATATATCAATTTTAAATTGATGATCCACTGGGAAGGTGGCAACATATTCGAGACTGGGGACGAAGAATTTTGAGTGCTTTTTCATAATATCATACCAGTTGGTCATTTGCCCTGTGTCTTTGGATTTGAAATACGATCCCCAAACAGTTGAACAAAGAAATTGCTCATCGGGATGCCATTTTTCATGTCCGTAGACACCTTCAGCTTCCAATTCCTCGCAAACCGTAACTGTATCACACCCAGCATATACATGTGGTGTGTAAATATCTTGAACTAAATTGTCTCCTATATAAAGAAATCTAGGATTCGAAAGTTTACTATGGGTTTCCAAAAATGTCTTTAAGTCATTCCAATTGCCTTGTGTGTAAATTCCTCCTAATTTCAAATCGTCAATTTTCAACGCTTCTCCTTCTTTGAAACCATCTAAAGAAATGAAGTCCTTGTGGTCAGTGAAAAAGCCTGGTTTTTTGGCATAGCTTATCACAATATCAAACATATCTCTCCAGTTTTCTCCTATTGTATGGCTGGCGGTGTGTGTAGCAAAATCCACATAGGACCCCGTAATTAGGAACAATATTTTTCCTTTGGCTTTAAGATCATTTAACCATCTGATAAGATGATTGCTGCATTTATAATAATACGTGTGTGGATTTGCCTTTATTTCTGCAAAATACTTTCCTTTTTCATTTTGAAAATGTTCTCTTGTGAACATGTCTTGTAATGCTGCTAGCAGATCAGGCCAAATATTGTACAGTTTTCTATCAGAATTATCTTCATCAATCGAGTTCACTGCTCGGGCAAATATTAAACTCACTATTACATCATAATAGTCTAATAGGGTGCGCATTTTTTCGGAATAGGGCCCATTCCACGTTTGCAGAGGATCTTCAGCGAACAAGTCGGTTGCTCTCCATCGAAGATTGGGATAGTAGGATTTTACTTCCTGTTGTGTCAAGATTTTTGTACCATGTGTAGCTTGAATGATTGTTCCATCTCCAGAAATTCTTAGCAAATTGCCATTTTCATCATCAACAATCAAGCCCTTAATGATGAAATTATGGTCTAAAGGTTTAAGCAAATGTTTCGCTGAATAGCCTTTGTTGTCAACCAGAAAGTTGGCTAAAATATCATACTCCATCTCTATCATAGCACCTACTTTATATCTAGCCAAGGTGTTATCTAAATCGAATCCCAAGCAGTCATAATCAGTAAATCTGAAGTAGTTGTGGGCAAATCCTTTACTCCTTGTTGAATCACTGATAGTTGAAGAATAACATTTTATCTCCTGTTTTCCACTATTGAACATCACCTTTACACGTTTACTATTAGATATATTAACAACTTTTTTAAATCTTTGGCAAACCCTTGTCGCTATCATATCGTGATAGATGGCGAACACATGCAGAGCATTTCTTCTGATTTACTACTAAGGCAGACTGGGGAACTGGCAAACTACTTGAATTTAACTCAATACTACTTTGCCTAATTGTTTAGAAATATCTTTTACACATTGACTCTGTGACATTGACCTTATTTCTAATTCTAATTGCCTTGGAACAGGTTAAAATTTCATAACAATGTTGTCAGATGAAAATACATATAACAGATTTATCTCTTCTTGTCTGTGCCACAATAGTGGAGCAGGACAACAAATTGCCAATTTATTATTTTGCGGATTATATAATTTTAATAGAAATTAAATTAAATTTAAATCCCAATTAAACAATATCAATAAAAAATTAATTACACTCAATATGTTAATAAATTTTCTCATTTTTATTATCACTCAATCTTGCCGATTTTAATTCAGTTTACGAATCAATCACCGATTGATTGATATATTGATTGTTAATTTAAACATATTTCAGATAAAAACAATGTATTTTAATATTATGATAGCTTTACGAGACGCCACTGGTGACGGCTTGTGACCCTAATGTCGTAATCCTTCATGATATTTAACCCACAGATTTAACCTAACTTAAGCTGTCATCAAAACCCAAGTAAAAAACTGTTATTTGTTGATACAGAATGTACGAAGTGAGTTAAACACCACTGTAATTCACCTCTTATGTAAAAATTCATGTTTTGACTCAATTTTAGAATACTCAATTTAAATATGCAACTGCCTCAAGCACCGTAAGCCCTGAAGTAACTCAGTGGTTTGCAGCAGTCGATAGAGATAAATCAGGGGAAATTAGCTGGCAAGGTAAATTTGCAAGCAGGAATTAAGTAGTGCAGTTGGTTTATCTATAGTTCTGTTGCAGAACTCCAATCTGCTTTGGTCAATGCAGAGGGGCGAAACTTCTCAGAGTCAGCTTGCAGACTTATGATAGGGATGTTTGATAAAGACAAAACAGGTACCATCAATATGAATGAGTTTCAGGAGTTATACAGCTACATCAACAATTGGCTTGGCACGTTTAGGCTATACGACCGGGATCAGTCTGGAAGCATTGAACAGGCCGAGTTAAGTCAAGGTAAGTGTTCAGTCTTCAGCATTCAAACGAAATCAAATGAAATATACAATATTTAGAACGGTATCAACTTACAAACCACAAGCAACGTAATTCTGAAAATAGCGTACAATCAGACAAAAAACAACTGTTTTCCGATTTGGCCCACCAAATCGGACAATTTAAAATGTTGCGTTACTGAAATAAAACATAAAACCTGGGTTTTTCATAGAAATGTCTAAAAGTTAAAATACGTAATTGAAATGGAATTGCTGTTCAACTTTTGTTGATTGAACTGAACATTCATCTTTAATTTACAATGCCTTCATTTGCAACTACCACAATTTCAAAATCCAATAAAACTCGTTTAAATAAAAGATTTATTTGAAATCCATTTAAGTACGTTTATTCAAATACCAACAATACTGAAATGTATGTTACTAGTTTAAAATGCTTTTAATTTCTGGAAACAAAAGCATTCGGAAATTGAACAGTTGTTTTAATTTCATACACACAAAATAACAATGCAAAAGTGAAACTATCTAAATGCAATGTACAACTTACAAGGATAGTTTATATGGTCAACATTTAGGCAGGTTGGAGTTGTAGAGTTTATAAAGAAACAAGTGAACTAACTTACAACAGGAATTGAAACAGGATATATTTCATATCAACTTTTGAGCAGTTTATACTGTAATCGGTTTCCAATATCCTATGATAATCTCTAATTTAAGATTGCTACTCTGTTCTTAAACTCAATACATAGTCAGATTTTAGATGTGAGTCGCAAAATACCAGCTGGATGTACGTTTAATTCCTTAATTTCAATGTTTTATTAGTTTTTCAATTATCTGACACCAGGTTTTTTAATGTCAATATTTATAACCAAAAATTAACGATAGGTTGCGTTATAAACTACGGCAAAAAAATATCGAAAGGAATTTTAGGCAAAATGCTTATCAATTAATATTTTTGAGACTGTTTGAGATATTTCAGTGATATTGTGTATGTAGTAATTGATAATAATAATTGTAACAATAATAACACACACAACATAATTTTCCTGCCCTGCAAAAATTTGATACCTATTACCATTATATGGAGTTATATTTTTCGTTTATTTGATATAAATATCGTTGAAACGTCTTTAGCGGTTGCACAAGTTTAATCAATTACACAAAAAATTTCTCATTGAAATTTAAAATTTAAAAACATATTTTCAAAGCCGAACATTTTTTAATCATTGATTATTAATCGAAGTACCTTTAATTTTCCATATAGAATTGGAGTCTTAGAAATTTGAATATCATTAAAGAACAGCCTGTATACGAATTTAGATCGTTGGTTTTCTAATAGGAATTTACACATTAGTTTAAAAGGACACGAGTTTTGAATTAATTCACATTTTAACTGAACTTTTATTATTTATTATGGTGTGTGAAACGAATGATACTGAGTAAAACTTTTTTGCGCAACATTTCAGCATTTATTTCATATTTTCAACATCATTACTTTCCATGTTCTTGCTTTCAATCAAGCAAATGCTAATTAGTCCCGAACGTTCCTTTCAGCTTTCCAACAAATGGGTTTCCAATTTTCTCCTGAGTTTACTAAGTATCTTATCGACCGAAGTGATCTGAAGAATCACGCAACTATGTCTATAGATCAGTTTATAGTTACTTGCGTTCAGATACAAAGGTTTACTGAAGCGTTTCGAAACAAAGATATGGAAAGGAAAGGAACAATTACCATAGGATTTGAAGAATACCTGGGTATAGCTTTAAACTGCTCTACATAATGTATTTAAATATAATTACATCTACGTTTTAGCAAATTATTTTTGATGGTTTTATGTGCACAATAACGAATATTAAAATTTGACGGCACAAAATTTAGGCGGTTAAAATTTAATGCATTTAACCGTGGTTAATCAACGATAATGATTATCTTTTTTGGACTAGTGCAATCTGACCAAATTTTGGTGCTCGTAATTGTACAACAATTCCGAGCTTCTTTCGCCTAAGTAGTTCTTTAATGTTGTGCTTCATGGAAATGTGTCGATTTTTTTGCATAAACACCAACTGCTTGTTGCTTAATAATTAGTCTAGTGTAATTCGATTTTTATAACGTTTTGGTACAATGAATTTAAGGGAAAGTAACAGTTGTAAAATACAGAAAGATGTTTTTCATTGAAATATGCGTGGATAGCAGTATACATTGGAATATAGATTCACATACGTATTACAAATGTTTTGCTCCGAACTCTTAGGGTGTAAATTTATATATAGTAAATTCGATGAGGTTGGAGGATAGATTAGAGAGAATGGTCCTATGTTAAGTCAGGTAGATATAAGATAAACAAAAGGCTTAATTTTTTGAATGCACTAACAGTAAAGTATATCTAGTTATATCTTAAAATAATAAGGGTTTCCTTCATCACAGGCAGTGTAGATTAAAGATTGTTTTAATGGCTTACAATCGAGTAGAGTTTTGCATAATTCAATGCAGTTAAGTTTAGAATTAGTACATGATAAATATATAAATATATATACATATAAATATATTAACGTTACCACAAAAATGTATATATATTCATTTATTTATATACTTTTTAATTATGTACAATTTTTTAATTTTCAAATTAATCAATTATGTGCAATTTGTTAATTGTTATATCCTGAAGTTTCCATTAAAACAGACTTTAATTAATTTATTAACTGGAGTTGGTTAAGAATCTTCTTATTAACCAACTTTTGTTGATAAGTATGTATCTGCATACATACATTAAACTTATAGAACGAATAAAAAATGCTTTCTAAGTATAAGTTTAGGTAGTAAAGTAAGCTTCTAACGTCTTAATACTGTCCTTACTACTACTATATACACTTTTTGCTGTCTCAAAATATATGTTCTCTTAGGTAACTGGAAGTTAAGGATTCAGTTTAGTTATGGCAAAAAAACTGTGAGTTACACTAATGTTGTCGACACCTGTTTTTCTAATAAAAAATATGTGGTTGAGATTTATGACAATGAATTGTATATGCAGATTTGCCATTAATATACTTACATATATAATTTTAAGAAATTGTCAGTTGTTATTTGTCCTAGAAAGCATTAGTAACATTTTACTACCATTACATACTTTTTGAACTTTTTACTTAAATTGTAATTTATTCGACATTAAAAACATCATGATTTACCCCAGAAGTCTAATATTGATAACGACCTTTTTAATTGGACTGATTCCCCAATATTAAAATGAACAACGAATTGAAGACATATTTAATTATTTAGGTAGATTGTATATATTTTGAAAAATTATTTTTTGTAGGCACTACGTTTACCTTTAAAACTAGGGTGATTTAATAGGTCTATTTGTAAGCGTATTAGATTTTGTGCCCTAGGATTTCAGTTCTTATATCATAATTTTTTCTAATGAAAGTCAAACTTCTAAAATTACAATTTTAGGAAAACAGGATTTTACGAAGCACTTTAAGTATTAGAAATTAGTATACGTTGAGACGAAACATTCTTACATGCTAATATATATCCATAACCCACAATTTATCTTAAAAATTTTCGATGTTGAGAACAGCACCGTGGACTAGCTTTGAAATCTACATTGATGAGATTGTGCTAGGGATTTAGTTATATTACACTTATAGAGTGCTTGAGAATGATGTGTAATTTAGTTATGACAATGGGCAAAAACACTTCCGTTCCATAGGCAACATACAAGAACAAATAAGGAATAGGTTTTTGGCTGTGTCAAAACAAGCTGTCCCAAGACGGGTTTAGGACCTATTAGCTCTTATCCGCTGGGTTTAGCTTGCAATTGGCACATCCAAAATCCTGCACTTAAATACAGAATTAGGTGAGGATCTGGTCTGAGTGATTGCTTTTGACGCCACCAAACCTTGTACCTTATTTCACACATTTATGACTGAAAAATCAGCCAATGCAACTATTTGAAATATGTTGATACAGTTTTACCAGTGCGACAGGAATTGTAGTTGTTATATTTTACCCACTAAACATAAAATACTAGTACATATTTATCTCGAAAATGTTATAAATCCTCTGTAAAATCCGCCCATCGATGGAGAATTCCGCTAATATTCGTTTTTTTTGCTAGAACAGATCTGTTTTGCATGAAAATGGTTATTGTGAGTTGAGCACGGTAAATATAAAACATTAAACATTAGTCTTACATCTCAACTTATAAAGTCACCTGTCTAGAAATGTTTATTACGACATGAGATAAAATATTTTAGAAACTTTTTCAAAGTGCTATTATGACTTCCTTCACTTTTTCTTACTAGATTTTCTTAAGCTTATCTCTTAACTCACTGAATCCTGCTTTACAACTGCGAATAATACATTTTAATAGACAAGCGCTTTATTTATGTATCTACAATAATTACATATGGAGAGCACCATAATTATTTATATATAACGCTAAGAGAGAGTGAAAAAATTCAATATTAAATATTGAATGTTAAAATATGAATTTAATTGTGATAAATTTAAGAAGAGTGAAAACATAGCAGAAACTAAGGTAGTACCTACATTAAATTAAATATTCATGTTCACCTTAAATGAGATCAATTTTTAATCTATTAGCAAAAAAAAATAATTCTTCGCCTCCGTACCAACATCAACATATCAACACTATTTTTACGCAATGGGGGCCAAATGTCTCAAACAGAATAATATCTAATTGACAGAAAGCATTGAAAGGATTTGATGAATTGAAAAAAAAGCTATGAGTAAATGGATTGGCTCAATCATTTAAAATGCGATGCACTGTTGAACAGTTGTGTTGAAGTTACAGTACTGAATAAATTTCTTTACGTTTCAAAATGAACTATTATTTAACAAACCAAACACTAATGCATTACTTTAATCTTAATGTTATTGAATAAATACCTACAACAAGGAGCAAATCCAAAAAAAAAACAATGACATCTCAGATCCAAATCACTCAAGTATGCGAAAAATCACTACAGTCAAGAGAAACTACATACCGCAAAAATTATTTTTATATGGGAAATTCGATACTCACTTTATTCCGGCCTGGAAACATTTTGACTGATTCATGACCTAATGTTCTTTGCTATAGCAGTTTTTGACTAGGAATGAGCGCTGTAAACAATTAATCTCGATGATAACGTTTATGTGGTACTTTGAAGTTGGTCATGTAGATATCTTCAGTAGCTACGTCCACTTTCGATGCACAATTGAGAGTACTTGGAGTAATTATAATTTCGTTTTGGTTTGCGGCAGGACAGAGTAAGGTTGTTTCGTTGGCTTCATCTTCGATTTCATCCGCCTCTTCGTCTAATTCATGATCGGAGTTATCTGCAGCATCATAGTCCTCGTCTTCATAACCGTTTTCTCCAGATTCGTTGTCGAGTGATACCTCTAAGTAATCCAATACAGTCGATATTGATTCAGACTGGTTACAAAGTGTAATTTGACAATGAGTTAAATATATTTTATTAGTGATAATTTTTTTAGTTTCTTAAGATTGTCTTCAATTAAAAATATTTTTATCTGTTCGAGAAAGGTTTAATGAAACCGATAATTCAAGGGCGTTAATTTCGTTCATTATTATAGCGTTCAGTTTTAACACGATGTTTGATAGATATATAGTTTTCAAGTTTAATTTAGTTCAATTATTTAATTTAGTATATATTTTTGAAAGTTCGAATTATTTGGAATTTTCACTGGCATGCCTACAAGATTGTTTTACAAGATTAAGGTGTTTGTGGATCGTTATTGTCCCTGGTATACGGTTTTTCATCTCCCTCGTAACGACTTGATATTTTATTGCGCAACATATATTCAAGGGAGACAATAATGTTCCATTTATGCAATCCAAGATTGTTGCGAGGATAGGGAATCTTATTTTCTTAGTTAACATTAAGAATGAGTCTCGTTTATTTACAGTTCTAGGAAATTGTTGATTCTCTTAATATTTTATTTTCAGGAATTATAGATTCCTGAAAACAACTTACCGGTAGATAGACCTGAGGTAGAAGGCTCGGGAAACTCTGGTGAACTTTGCGTACTTTTGGCTTCGTCACCATCAGATGGTACTCTAAGTAGCGATTTTTTTTGGATCTGTGGTACAATTAGAGTCACTATTTCGTTGTCTTCGTCAGATCTTTTTCGGCCGTTGTATGGCATCTCGGAATATGAGCACGGAGAACTGGAATAATATGCATAGCAACATTTCAATAAATTTTTGCACAAAACTATTTGCTATTAAACATATTCTTCGAGGATGACTTCGTTATCAGTTCTAAGTTACCTGAGAGTAACATGTTTCTTCAATCGAGTTCCGCTATCCGAATATCCACGATAATATCTAGGGCGGTTTATGAAGGAAATTTCCGTTCCATTATCATCCAATTCTCTGATGTTGGGCAAGCTGGGAACCGACGATTGTTTTTCTACAAGAATTGACTTGGGCTTTACTCCAGAATTCCAGTGGTTTGTGATGGTTGTTCCTGTTTTCAAACTTGCGGGTGGAATATCGTCATCATCGTCAAGTGGAGAACCCGTAGGAACCATCTGGCGGTGACTAGTGTTTGGAATAAAACACTTTCGATCCTCCATGTATAGGTCGAAGAACTGATCGATCTTTGAGTAGATATCATCAACCTGTAATTTTTACAAGTAGACACTAGAGATCTTCGCATTAAAAACTTCTGTATACTTTTTTGTAGATATATTGATGTTTGCAGAAAACAATTTGAAAATAGGTACAGTTGATTCATATCAAGGTTATCTGAAGAATTTTAATCGGGTTTATGGTACAGAATGCAGCATAGTGGAACCTTGTGATTATTCAACTGATACAATATGCATCAGTTGATAAGATTGAACAATGTGAAAAGTGTTCCAAGTAGATGGTCTTCAGTAAATAATAAGATAGATATAATAAGTGGCAAATTCTTTACGATTTATGCTACTATTTGCAATTATTTACAGCCATTTTCAATTATTATCGTCGCAGCATTTTGGTGGCCTGAAGAAATATCAAAGAGAGGCGTATTTTTTTCTCTGTTTATAGATTGTAAAGTTATATGGGTTTGTTTTGCTTGTACATTTTTAGATCAGAATTTATTGCCATTTTATGACCTCTCACTTTCATTCACGTTCTCTTTGTTTAAAAATTATTTCAATACGTTTCTTTAAATTTAAGTGTTCACATGGAAGAAAACCAATATGTTTTCTCAATTTGTTTAAGTACTAAGTCATACAAGCATTCAAAGGCAAAATAATATAATAGTACATTCAATGTGGCTTTTGAAAATTAAGCTAACTTTGTCAATTCGGATATTTCAAAATTCACTGTTTACTTAATATTTTACCAATTTCAGAGAATATCTTTCGAAATATGTATAACAGCTTCAATTAAGACATGTGTACATCTTGCTTCTTAAAAAATTCCCTTCCTTATAAAAAATGTTTGTTACTTATATAACTTGAAGAGAATATAGTAACTTACTTGTCTCTCTACAGTAACGACTCTGGCAGCTAAGCAAATCTTTGAAACGTACACGTCTTTGGACTTCGAACCTTGTTTTCCAAGAATTTGATCCAATCTGGAACAAGACCAAACATGTCTCTTACATTCCACCAGTTGAACTCGAAGAGCACATGAAGGCTGTTTCATATGTATGAAAGGTTTCATTCATAATTCAATACGTGTGAAACATACACAAGATAAAACATCAAATATACATTCTATCAGAAATAGTTATGATAAAAATCCTGAAAAATCGACTACAGATTTAAACACATAAACATGGTAATTTAATGCTATTTATTATGTAGCTAACGTTTCCAGAATCTACTTCACTCATCGTGGGAAAAACAGCTGGAATATGGGGTTGCTAAAAATCAGCTAGCTATAGAAGCGTTTCGTTAAAACATAAAAACGAAAGATACTATAAAATAATTTAAAAATATATTTTCTAAATATACGAAGAAATTTGTGCGTTAAGGAAACGAGCGTATTAAAAAGGAAAACAGTAATAGATAATTTAGGACTCTAATGTACTTTTATTCCATTCAGATACAATGAACAGAAATGTACAGAGGTTAAATAAACTTGGGAATTATACTAGGTGACTTAAACTTAACTGGCATAACTTTAATAACGTGTTCTACCTCCAAAAATATATTCGAAACTATATATAATTTGTAGTTTTTTCTCTCTTTAATTTAGGAACTCATTGAAATTGCATATAATATTTATAGCAACTTTAAGAGCACAAATAAAATATTTTATTTGTCAGTACGATAGATTTTGGGGTTTAATTGGATTATTTTACACCTAATTTTGACTCCACTGGAAAAAATCGCTTTTTGGAGGTATACATTGAAATGCATGAAAGCTTCGTCGTGAGTTAAAAGACGTGTAAAATCTGCTTACTCGTCATTCCTAACAATGTAAGACATTCCCTAGCATAACATTTTGGCATTAGTTCGACCCAAGTGTTACGTTAGGAAATAAAAAAACACATGTTTTCATCAAAAAAGCCTCAGTTGCTCCAAAATGTCGGAACTTAGAGCTTTTAACGAATAGAGCATCTTTTATAATAATAAGCTATTGGTCTTTGAGTATATGGTTTGAGTATGAGCTATTGCTCTTTAAAACGTACGTTCAAATTGGTTTTTTCCCCAATTCGGTGGTCTGAAAATAGTTTGTTGGCTGATTGCTCCATAGTAATAGCACAGCATAAAGATTATAATCTTTATGCTGTGGTAATAGCGTGGGACAAGTACAGATTTTTGGTTACGTCTCAAGCAAACACTCCCAAGACCGGTTTCGAACCTATTAGTTCTCATCAGCTGAGCTCAGCTTGCAACTGACGTCCAAAACCCTGTAATTTAACGGGGTATGAATGGAACATCCCGGACATCGTCTACGAAAATGCTCTTGGGAGTCCTTGTTTGGGATATAGACAAAAACCTGTTATTGTATCACGCATTTCTACGGTAAATAGTGCCTAAAATATAGTCGACATGTTAAGAAGAGAACGAATAGAATCTATCCGGATAACTTAAACTTAGCAAGTTCATTCTATGAAAATATATCTGTATATCAAGCATACATTCTGAATTTCATCAATGATTTGTGTAAAACTGATGTTCGAAAGTAAAGAAGAACAAAACATTTCAAATTGCATCCTTACATTTAAGCAGGCAGCAGCAATTCAATATTCGTCTCTCTTTATGTACGCAAGTGGAAGCGTTTGTCGTTTCAGCAAATTAAAGCAACTAATCAACATTTGAAGTATTCAGTTGAGCCTACCTGTATTGCAGATTTTTCACCCGATTTAGCAAGTCTGCATGACCAGAAGAATACTGCTCAATAACGTCCTTAACGTCGTATGGCTTTAGAGCCTCTCGGAATTTCCGTCGAGCAACGAAATATTTTATCTAGAATCAAATAAATAATAGCAAATATTGGTCTGCAAATATCTTAACTTAAGACTACGACAGTCCTTATAGTGATCGAAAATGATTCCATTTTCTATTAGAAGCATAAATAATTTATTTATTAAAGCACTAGACGAAAATTACGTTTTCCATAAGCCCTAAATATCGCTGGTAAAATGTTTCTGAAGGAATGAAATGCCCTTTGGACTCATAAGCCAAAAAGGAAAGCACAATAACGAACAAAAGTGTGTTACTTTTCGCATAAGTGGATTGCTGCGAAACAACATTATTGAAATAGGTAATGTGCCAGCACGTACAGTTCTGCATGCGTAAAATTAAATATTTCTAGTTTTCCGAGCATGCTTGACTTAATTTATTTTGCCGGAGAATAGCAGTTTTGTTTAAAGAAATGGGTTATTTCAAACAGAAACGCTTCAGTTGAAGTTATTGAAACATTTTTTTTCAAAAAACCTAAAACTGAAAAATTGTTAATATTTTAAAAATGATCCAACGGTATTGTGGAGTAAAATTTAAAAAAATGTGCGTTTTCCCCCTATTGTGTTGTTATTCTTGCGTTCAGAGCTTGCAGTTCTCTAAATAAGTTTGACTTCAGGAACTTGTTTAAACTTTCCAATAGTACATCTCCTTTCTTTAGTTTTGTTTTTCATAAAAAAAGATTTCAAAATGTTTCAATTAGTTAGGAATTACCCTGTTCTGTATAAGTTTTTTACAACGCCACATAAATGTATGAAGTTTCGCTTTTATGTAGCAAGAAACAGGGTAAGTTATCTTCTCGTTTTTTCTACTTATTTATGATGTCATTCAAACAGTATTTAGGATACTATATGTATTAAAAATATTATTTAAAAGAAAAACTAACTTTGCGAATTGCCCTGATAGCTGCTTTGTGTTGGGAGGTGAGTTGCAGTAGTTGTGGCTCGTCATCATCATCTGAAAAAAAATGTTACCATTTAATCATAAATTAGTATTAATTCTTGAATTAGGAATCGAAGTCATGTTCTTCAGCTGATTTTTTAAGTGAAATGTTTGAAATTATTTGAATTTACCATAACTAAGCAAATTGATCAAGTCAATATGTTTTCCACACTTAAATTTATAGAATTCTTATTAAAGCGTTTATTAATGATAACGATTTTTATTATTTTGATTTCTAGTTTATTAATGATTAATGATACAAATTAATTATTATTGCAAAAATCGCTCATATATAAATATATATGAGCGATTTTTGCAATAATAATAAATAATAGTTGGAACTATACGTTATTTCACTAAAGTGCTGATCTGATAATACGTTACATATGCATCATTCAAAAAGTTAATAAACGCCTTAATAAGAATTCTATAAATTTAAGTGCGGAATTTAAAGACATTTCGCGCTTCTACGTACTGCTCATTTGATACTGTTCCAAGTATTGACTAAACCACGCTTCCTTTATCTTATGTAGACTCCTAAATACAAACCTAGATAAAATTAGAGACAAAACAAAATCAAATTTCCTATGAGATTCCAGCTTGTAACAGATCTAATAGATTCAATATGAATTGATAAAAAAATGTGCTCATTACATTTTTAAATACTTGTAAGACATAAAATCAAAATCGCTTTTTAAATTAATGTTTTTTCAAAAAGCTAATATCTAGATAGATAGGAATTCCATGCTCCAACCAGTAGGTTATGTTATTTTGTCTGTGTCTGGAAAGCAAATATGTATTAACTATGCAGGTTCGTTTTTATTACTGCCAGTAATGTCTTAAAACACACCCTTGTCTAGGGTCGTTCAAAGATAAAATTATATAAAATCAAGATAAAATATTACAATATTTTGAACAAGAATCTCCTTTTTGTAGGGCTAAGTGGCCTTCTTATGTTTTATTAACCATTTTAGGCATATATTTTATTTTTACGGAACTAACTGAAGTAGATTTTTTACATGATAATAGTATAAAAATAATAATTGAAAATAAAATTGAAGACAGAAGCGTATAAATATTTTTGAAAATATTAATCGCCAGTTTTCGACACACTATAAACGTTTCAAATGAAAGTTTATTTAGGCAGATAATTCAGATTTGTAGGTAAATAATGGTTTTCAAAATATTCCATAATGAACCATAGTTTCTTTATTCAAGTGTTCTGCAAATTCATTTCCATTTTCAACAACATTTAATGAATCTGAAAATCTGCATTAAGACATCATTTCTCTCATCATGTAGAAATTTCAATTTTTTTAGGCGCTTCCCTAGATGTAATTGTGCATCATTCTCAATTTGTACTAAACTGAAATATTTATTTTTGGGTGTTTCGAAATACTTCGAATTGGTTTCGACAAAAAACGAACAACTGGAAAGTTTAAGAAACATGTCGATCATCGAATAAGAAACATGCCGATAATAAAGAATGGCACAAAACCACTAAATCTAAAGCTTCAAACAAGTGAAAGAGTTTATTGAAGAGAAAAAACATAAATCCGAATCAATAAAACAAAGTTGTATAAATACTAAAAAAATAGGAGATAAATGATTTAATTTTCTCATCCAACGCATTAAGTTAATCGTCTTGCTCGGATAAGATCAGGCAACTAAAAATAGCATCCATATAGTTAACAAGAATAAGAACGGAAAAAAACTAATCATGTGTGTGATACCTCACAAGGGAACTCGTGTTTACCTAAATGCCGCAACAGAAACATTAACTGATGACCGTATAGTTCTACTTTATTGATTAAGTATAACTTAGAAACATGAAATAGGTTGGAAGCGGCACTGAAACTAATTTGATTGTTCAATTTTTCGGCCATTTGAAATGTTAACTTTTCAGTTATCAATGCCATTATAAAGAGTGCCTGGAAATATTTGAACTTTAGGGCTTTATTTGTATACAATGAGTTATTTCAGTGCTCGCAAAGAAATCCTAAGTAGTTTGTAATCATTTACAAAGAAATACTTTTAATTTAAATCATGTTACATTGTAATGCATCAAATAGAATGCTTCCTTTCCTGTAAATCAACAAATGTTAATGCACAGACTTACTGAAAATTATTTTACATTTTGAGGGCATATACGTGCATGTGTATTAATTAAAAACAACATGACTTTAACGCCAGAATCTATAATTAACCCTTTCGACGGAAAAATTGATTCCTTCACAGCTAGCCGTTTGAGTGTTTTCTCCTTAAAAAAGACCCATTAAGTAGCATAGAATAGGACAGCTTCGGGTAGGAGGCATCTTAAATTTATCGCATAGAAAATTCCAGCAACCCACTAAAAGGGCGTAGGTGGTTTTTCAGTTATTGTTGGAAAACACTTAAAATATTGGCTGATATTTGAATCACATATGTTGTTTACCACACTTGGTAGAGAAAGAAACTTTCTTGAAGTTTCTTCAGGTGCATAAATTCGTTGGAACATTTTGAATTTATTCCGAACTCTTGGTAAATTCGCTCATTTTGACGATTTAACCAAAAATAATTAGATCTATATGTTGCCTGTAGTGTTGCCGTCTTGAAGACCATTGCTAGTATTCGACATTTTTTTGCCGAATAAAATTAATTGAAGCTTCTAGCATGACAAATTCAGTGCTACTCTTAGTCCAGATGTATCAGAGTACCCAAATAATTATTGTAAGGTATTTAACAAATTTTACGGGTTTGTAGGTGAACGGCACTGAGAAAAAAGCGACTCAAAAAACGAGCAGAACTTGTGTAAAACACATTGAAACATTTGTCCCAATTGTTCCTCTTAAAGAAAAGCTTACGTTTTTATAACAATGCAAACTATTCTGAAAACTTGTCTGTTAAGTAATTTTTTGATGAACAGGAGGAAACTACTGTAAATTAGAAACTTTTAAAAATTAACAATGTATGAATTATTAAAAAGTTTTCAAAATTATTCAAAAAGTTTTTCTCAACCTTCAGTCTTTAATTATATGTATTTCCTGGTGTCAGTTATTAATGCAAAACTCAGATCAATACATGTTTTGCGTACGTTTCAGTTTACTGAAACTTTTATATAAAAGTCATTCAACCCTTAATTTATTTTCTCAAAAACCATTTAATTTTGTTGATAATTTTGGATATACACATTAGAAAAATGTACATTTTTCAATTAAATTTCTTGAAAATATTATTTAGAATTATAATGTTATATTGTAATGCTATATAACATATTAAAATGGAAAAATAACATTATGCTTCTAAATAAGCATGTATGAAAAAGTCACCAACGGCATCACGAATTAAGCTCGTTTCTTAAATATTTGAGGGTTAAAGATGACAATCTGATCAACTTAAAATTTCCTGAAAAAGTGGATGGTTTCGGAGATACAGAGAAAGTTCAATGTGGCTTTAGTTTGTCCTAATTTTTTTTCACAATATTTGATTAAGGGGGATTATTACGGATAATAAATTGAAGTCTGATTTGTTGTAAAATGTAGTAGTTATTTTTGACACATTTAGAACGAAATAACTTTTTTGAGCCACACTGTAATTTACGTTTGCAGAAAGTTTTGTATTCTCCAAAATCTTTTACTTAATAAATGTATAATTGGTTAAAGTTGACTTGAGTAGATGTTTACGAAATATCTGGATTTAAAATATACAGTTCGTGATTTATCTACGAATATTGTGACAATACACTTCTTATAGATAATCAGGAAATTAATATTTCAAATCTGGATATCGAGGTAACAATTTCCATTTCTTTTCAAGTTTGTTTAGTAAGTCATGAGTGAACTTGAAAAAATAATTTTCTGCAAAAGTAAAATACAGTGTGGCTCCAAAAATATCTTTCGCTCTAAATGCATGAAAATTATTAAGTGTAGAGTGTAGACCTCTACATTTTACAACGCAATGGGAATCAGATTTCCATTTCTTACCTTCACGAACGCTTCATTTAAAAATTTAAGTTTTAAAAACTATGTTTAGCAAAAACTAAATTCAAATTGGACTTGTAGCCAATTCTATTTGCCCAAAATCAGTCAGTTTGGGACTAAGATACGTTGGGTCAAATCATTATATTTTAGTCTAAGGAAGTGTGCTAGTATTTTTTCCGCACCTTTCAGGGACACCCTGTATAATTAATCAGCAATATTAATATACGCACCACATTTTGCAAGGTTTTGAACCGAAAGAAGCCCAGTTATAGAGGTGAAACAAATAAAACTTTTGGGTGGTTTTGTGCCCGTCATTTCATGTTTGATTTATTATTGTTATTATTGACGGTTAATTAACGAGAATATCGAATTTCAGAATTTCTGAAGAAAAAAAAACTAAGAATTCCATCGATATCCAAACACCCTGTACAAGTTTCCTCAATACTAGGGAAACTGAAATGGAAGCGAAATGAAAATATTTGATTACCAGTATAATGAACTATTTTTTACAAAGTTTGGTTGTAATTTTGTATTTTCGATTGATCAATCTGAAAATTCGTCCAACTTTTCTCTATTATACAATTATGGGTGACTGAAATAGTAACAACCCGTTAAAAAATAAATCATATCTAAAATGTAATTTAAATAATTATGAGTAAGGGATAAAATGCAGTTGCAAATATTGTCATCCGTTTTATGGAAAAGTTCAATAACAAAATGTAATAAAAAGTTAATTTAATTTAAGTAACTTACCATCCTGGTTCTCGACATTAATTTTAGTGTCGTTGACTGCAGTAGAATCGTCAATGAAGTTGGGGTTTAAATTATTCCTGTTTCCGTAGCTACTGTTCCTGCTACCTGCAAACATTGAATCAAATGCATCATCCTAATTTCTCTAGTGGCATGCTAACACCATTTTTGACTGCATAATTGATTTTTGGCCCTCCCTAGTGGGGCGTTTTAAATCCGAGTGCTGGTACTGTTTCGAACACAATTGACCTGACATGTAAAAGTAATGCCCCATTTTTTTATTACTGATTTGGGCCTAAAAATTGTTTATTTATGTGTTTTTCTCCCTAACATACATATCGTTTTAATACGGTTGACATATGTAAATGGTGACCGAATGGCCGTATAGACCGCATAGTTTTTAGGAAAAATTTATTGAGGTTCCGAAGACACTCCGGAGCGGAATATCAATACATTGAAATGTTTTTGAGTTCCCGTCTGGAATATTAAGAGCGGTCCGTTTGGGATAGTCCAGATATATTTACGATAACTAAGTTTTATGATAGTACATGTAATTTTGATCAATAATCCTTCCGTTAAGCGCTTGATGACAATAATAGACAAAGTTTATTCTTTGTTAACGGAACTATTCAATCAATATGTTGACTTTGTCGATTAGTTGATCCTACACCGTAATGCATCGGACAGTTTGTTTGCTTAGAATACATAAATGGAATTAGAGAAAGAATTCAAAATGAACTTGCATACGGGATGTCCGGGGAAAAGCGTTTCACACGTATTCACATATTTTTTGGTCAGAAATAGAATAGACTTAAGCTGATTTGAAGTCGTTTTTATTACAGCGTTCCTCTATTTGCTTGATGAAACGTCGATGTATTTCAACTATTTCTTAGACAATAATACACAAACGGGACTATTTCTTATATATTTAAATACAGGATAAGTGTTTGAAAAGTGTCGTATTATGTTAAAGCTTGCATCCTTCTCACAATCGTTTGAAACGACACCTTTCTTTTTGTAAAATGCTGGTCAAAGACCTAGAGGTTTTACTACAGCCGCTCAATAAGAATTCTAGATGTCAGTCTTAAAACGAAAACTCTGTGTATATGAGATAAAAGTGCATAAAAACTTGTATAAACTACCATATAAAAATATGATTAGTGATTGAGCTGAAACTCGGAACTCACTTCCTGAACCGATTCAGATTGAAAACGACCGAAAATATTCTATCTATTGCAAGAACCCTTTTGAAGCAGCTTTTAATCCGCTTTTCTTCAGAACCCAAAAATTTCAGATCGCTTCGCCCTCTTTCAATCATCTTAAATTTTAAAAAGTCATATCTCCGAAACAATTTATTTGTAAATAGAGATAGGCGTTCGAGGTAATTCCTTGAAACTTGTGGGTTTTTCTGGTTTTTAAGCCGTCGTACAATAGGAAGTAATTCTATTGTGCGACGGCCTAAAACCCGAAAAACCCACAAGTTTAAATTAATTTGTAAGTTCATTTTGAGTGATATATCATCAGTCGCAATGAGCTTTTAGATAGTCCACCTCAAAAACGATTGTTCATCAATTAGGTTTTGCCAGTAAGTCGAATATCTAATGAGATTCCAACATTTTCCAGTGTTGGAGTAATAAGTATCTAAGTGTAAACATCTTATATTTTGGAAATAGTTGGAAATATCAGTCAAACAATTAGTCGTTGATTTCGATAGGCTGTTTCGAGAAAGATTTAATCCGCAATTTTCGAACCCAAGAAAAACATAGAAACCAAATTACCAAAATGTAAAAATGTATGAAGTAGTACACGACAAATTTGATGAATTCTTGTACTTTTCCATTAATATCTCGGCGACTGTGAAAATTACTTCAATACTCATTAGAGCCTTTTACTAAGCGCTGTCTTTTACTAATTCAGTTTATCCGAATTTTTTGGTAACAAAGTCGGGCTGTGAGCGCGGTGAACAATATATTTTTTGGTGTTCTGGTTTATTAGTGACTAGTGATGGAAATTGATAAAAAATGCCTATTTCCAGTGGCTAAAGTGGCGGAAAATTAAACTAACACTATGTTTCTTAGGTCAACATTTCGGTAATATTTACGCCATCTTCAAGGCTCTAAAAGAAAAAACAAATTCGTTTCAGTCTTAAATATAGTAAAAATCGTCGCATAGTCATTAATAAAAGGTATTTTTTTTGTCATTAATATTAAAGAAAACACAAGAAAAACTAGCATGAGTTAAATCAAATATAACGTACAATGGCCGAAAGTAGTAATATTTAACAGCAATTAAAAAAGCATACTTAGCAAACACATAAATAGTAATTAAAGTCATTAAGTGATCGAAACTGGTGTAGAGCAAAATACAATATAAATACCAAAGGACAAAGAGATGTTGTTTGACGGTAAATTAAAAAAAACATGCTGTTTTTAGTTTACTTTTCATATGTGGAATGCTCACTTTCTTTTAAATTACTGATAAATAATATTACTTTTGTTCTTAGTACCTTATATTTTATTTTGCTCTTGTCCAATATTCTATTTTCATTGTTTAAATTTGGTGACCAAATGAATACCTTTTATTGACGACTATAAGATCATGTTTTTTATATTTAGGACTGAAATCACTCTGTTTTCGCTTTTAAAGCCCAGAACATGGGTTATATATAGCCGATACATTCACCCAAGAAAAACAGGGTCTTTATTTTTTGCCACTAACTTCTGTTGACTGAAAAACTCAAGATTTTAAATAGGCATCTTTTACCAACACATTTTTTATTGTGAAAGGACTTCTCCGAGCTAAGTTAGTTAGTTTTCGAAGCGTCTTCAAAAGTAAATTTAAATTGAAATTGGGGAGCTTTTCGTTTTTTTTCAGGAATAATTTCTTCCTGACGTTTCGTGAAGACGAGTGATTTGCATCCTCAGAGGTGTTTTGCTCAAAAGCTTGCATTAAACTCATACGATTTTTCGGGCGCGTATTTATACAGATATTCTGTTGGAGAATTTTTTTCTCAAAGGAGCTGTATTTTGCTGTTTAGGCCTTGGAAAGTGCTCGAAATCCTGTCTTTTCAGTGTCATTCTTCTTTTGTTTTCTTGTTGTCAGCTCACAAAAAAATCTCATAACGATATAGAAGAATCTAAACAGAAAGACCTAATAGATCCAATAACACTCGCAAAATTTCAAAAAGGTTCGATTCAACCCAAGCTGAGAAGCATCGGCGCCTATTAAAGGTTTACATAAGTGACGAAACCGTCAAGAACAAATTCCTTAAATCGAGTACCAAACACATTAGTGCCGTCCAGTGTAAGCTTTCGAGCGCCACATCTCTTAAGAAGCAAGTCACTCGTGCTAGCGAAACGTCGAGAAGAATATCTTTTCCACGGCCTAAAAGCACAAGTCAGAAAAACTTACCTAGCTGTAAAATAAGCTGATCCGAGAACTCGTGCAAAAATAAAGCGACTGATCCCACCGCTCTTAATGAGGCGTGCAGTTTGAATGTGGATCTTATTTAAAGATCGGATTAATATTAAATTACTTTTGCACGACACATCCAGCTGCTTCATAAAAATTGACTTCTGAAAACTGAGCAAAATGCTAACTCGATAGCTCGTGTGGAAAGCCAGTTTCGGAGTATTGAATGTGGATCGAACTATGAAACACATCATATCGAGCTGAACAGACTCGAAGTTTCATAAAAATCGAACAAAAGTCCGAGAGCATTTAATTTAGCATGAAAAAGTCTATTCAGCTCCATGATTGGAGATGCTCGTATTTGGCTGGGAAACCTGTTTTCTTCACGGCGACCATCCACACTATTTAAAAACCAGAAACGTGCGTTTTAAAACATTTGCATGCGAATACACATTTTCTATGAAACAGTCAACAATAGAAAAACGTAAATCGACCTGCAAATGCCTTTTCCAAAGGAATGATCAAGCAAACAATTATATCATCCCGTTAATTCTGAAGTTCGTTGCCTTCGAAAAGTAGTAAAAGCCTTAACATCGATTAATTTTTTTATGGAAAAGTTGACTAAATATTCAGTTTGGTACGGGGAGTGAACAAAATACGTCGTCAGCCCTTGGTTTATAGACGGCATATACAGATGATTTGGAGTCAATAAGGCAAGTGCGCTGATTGTCCGTTTTCCGCTAACGGAAAGATTAAAGCTTTCCATTCGGAGTGGACCTTCATTGTTTATTAACGTGTAGTGTGAGTGTTTTGAGGATTAAGGAATATAAAATGGAGGATTGGGCCCCAGCTTGCAGAACGTTGGTAAGAATGAACTGTAATCTATAAATTCGTTAGTTTTGAAATTAGAAAAATTATCATTAGTTGACAGAAACTCAGCACAAGGGCGGGAGTCATGACCCCCTCTCTCACGATCTGCCCTTGCTTACCTTCCGCTTTCTATCCAACGTTTCAGGAATTCGTCATTTAAATAACTACTGCGAAAAGTTTAACAATTCAAACAAGTTGAAGCGGTAAATTCTCTAACAAAGCTGATGGTTCATTTACCGCGTACACATGCTTGTTATGAGCTTAGTAACATATAATCTTGAAAAACCTGCTTTGTCGGCAAAGAACAATTTCCTTGTAACAAGTGAACAAAGTAACTGTTCTTCGTGGACAGCAATTTTAGAAATTTGCAAATTTATTTCTAGGTTTCGGTAACTTAAAAATGGCTCATATTCAGTGGAAGCAACATTTTTTTTTCAATTTGTCATTCAAACTGAACGCTCAGTGTTGAGTAATGTTTGAAGCTCAAGAATTGAACCATGTGTTTAATCCGACAACATCGAGTTATCGTTTAGTCAATCAATCGATGTTTTTCCAACAGATGAATAAGCTTCTGATTATATTGCTTTGATAAGAAAATGAGCGAATTTGCGTGTATCGAAAACACAATAAATTGCCAACATACGACGTCAGTTTTTTCACACTTTCCGGTAATTCAACCATTAAAGATCACTCGATAACATAATTGAGAAAAATTTGACAAACATGTTTAGAAGCAAAGCAATTCGAGCATACGTTACGTCGGCATAAAAATGTCTTGTGCGTTTTTTCGGACACTCTGTACGTAATTAATTACATTAATTTTACCGCGAAAGAATCATTGACACTTGAATTACGCTGATAAAAGCGTTTACTTTATGCAAAACGGAAACATTCTGTTTACATGCTCTATCAACTGAAAAATGCATTCATGTGTATTACAATTTTTCACAAATGTTCTATACTAGCAACACACCATTATTTACCTGTATTTCGTTCTTTTTAAAATCGACGTAAATATATATTCAATTAAAATATTAGCACACACACATGAATTTGCTTTGATAATAGCTGAAGCACATTTTGTGCCAGTATCAAATGCTTTATTTTAATAAACGTTTTTTAAACAAATGTCTTTCCTTCTAAGCAATTACATTGCCAATGGATTCATTTTTATTTCCCTTACAAATTGGCTGCTCAATTTAACAAACGAGTGATTTTCGTCGGTTTGGGGCAAATTGCCAGTTTGAAAGACTTACCAACATAATCTGAAGTTGAGTTCATTCTGGCAAGTGTTTTGTTATGAACGCGGGCTGGAGATGGTGGAATGGTACATGGTGCTGGACTTCGATTTCGTCGAATGGTTGAAAATCGTCCAACGAAAGAAGCATTGTGTCGAAAGCTACTAGCTAACCTTCTGTAAATATAACATACAAAAGCAATTAAAAAACATTTTTGTGCCATATCCGTGTTGTACCACGTGCTATTTGCTTCTCCTGCTAGAAAGTTAATGAAACGTAACATTATCTCAAATTTAAGCCAATTTGGGTTGATAGAGACATTTTTATAATCCCAAGCAAACAAAGTACAGTTTTATTTTCTCATCATGTAAAGAAATAATGCAATTTAACAAAGAAGGAAGCCAAGTATGTTGAACATGTGTAATTATGTTAAAGAGGATCATTACTATTCCCGATTTTCACATGCTCGATTTTTTGTCATACTCGTGGTGATTTGCTAATAAATTTTTCGAATACGCTCCAAGGTGTTTCCTCATAAGTTGACATCCCCGCCTCCTTAAATAAGTTATTTCAAGAAATTGTGAAAAGTGGTAAATACAAAAGTTTTTCATTGTTACTCAGATTATCCAAATCTGAAAACGTTGATGTTAACATTTGACATGTCTCTTTTTTTAAAAGGAACACTCTTTCTATTTTGAGGCAGATTGATAGGATTTATTTTCCAGATTTAAGATATATACAGGGTGTTTTGTAAGTAATTAAAGTTTCCTCTTTTTCCATTACTTGCCTCCGTTTAATCACAAATTGCGATTGTTCTCAGGCAGTTCTTTTGATAAAATTATTTTGAAGAGCGTATAAAAACACGTCTACAGCAGTCACGAAAGACGAAAATTAACCAGAATGAACAAGACATTTGAAAAATACGACAGACTAGATTAAGAGTGGAAAGTAAGGAAGAAAATCCTTACTTAATACTGCTACTTCCGGCATTTTTGAGCGTGTTCGGGAGAATTTTCACAGAAGAGCTGGACCCTGTATTTTGTCAGTGGGTGCTCATTTTCAACAACTGCTGTAGTGTAGGTTTTGTTTAATAGCACACTTGTTTTTAAGAGCTTTTTGTCATAATTTTATGGAAATGCTGGCGATTTCAACACGATTTTGATTTGTTGCTATTTATATTTTTTAAAATGCAATATAGAGAAAAAGCTGTCATGAGAAAACTCCTATCGATCTGTCTATAAATACTTACATAATGTGTTGCAATAAAAAAATACCTAAAATTTGAAGTTTATGTCTTTCAAGTTTTTATTTTAACTTCAAGTTTTAAAAATTTGAGTACTAATAAACAACTTTAGTATCTACCACTTTAAAATAAAATAAAAAATACATGGTGAGCCATGCGAGCAGATCTTATGCTAGCAGACCTTTAACAATTGATGTAGATTCGTATTTTAAAATAGAAGAGGGAGATTTGCAAACACAATGTTGGCTAGAAACGGGTATTCAAAATTGTTCCTGAAGATAACTTACGCTGGAGGACTGTATCGAACTTGATGAATTTTCCAAGTTGCCTCGGACATTGATTTTTCATCAGCAGCGTAACACCTCCAAATAGATTGAATAAGCGTGGCAGCAGGTTGCCTTCTTCTAATCATGTGCTTCTGCCTCTGTTGTTCTTGCACTTTGAGGGCAAATCCGGATCCCAAAATTCCCTGAATGTATATTAAAAGTGAGTAGTGGAATGGAACCGGTTTGTAATGTACGTACAGCTGGTAGAGCGAAAAACGAGATTCCCAGCAAAGAGCAAAAAGATGCAATAATTTTCCCTTGCCAAGTCTCTGGAACCATGTCGCCGTACCCAACAGTGCATAGCGTTATCTGAAGGAATTCGTTTGCTTTAACACTTCTTTAAGGAGGTAACTATTAATTACTCACCACGCCCCACCACAAGGCTTGAGCAAAATTGGTAAACTTCGTATTGGGTAAGTCTTTTTCTACTAGAAAAACAACGAACGATGCCAAAATTAGGCCTAGAAATCCAATATATAATGTTGTCATTAATTCCTGAAAAAAACCGACAACGCTCAAAAATTTAGATGATATTTGCACTGAGCTTTATACCTGTCGGTGTGCGTAAATGACTGATATTAGAAGTTTCCAGGTTCCTCCTCGTCTATCCATACGAGCCATTCTCAATATTTGAAAGAACCTCAAACCTCTTAAAGCACTCGCGGCCAGCACTTGGCCTCCGGATTTGATGGTAATTATCACAACTACTACTGACGCTATTATGGTCGCAATATCTAAGAGATAATTGAAAAACATCACTTGCATATTACACCTTTGCTTTATCGAATATTGACAATTATGGCCTGAAAGTCGAACAGAAATATCCACTGCGGTTTCAACCCTTTGACTACAATAATATAAAGATCGCATTTTGACCCTTTTATTTGCCCCCTTTTATCTATGTCGATATTGATAGTGCCGATCCATTTAACGTCTCAGGATGACTTAATCGAATGCATTAAGTAAATCTAGAATGACGCACCAAACTAAACTGAGATTTAATAGAGCAAAACCAATAAAAAAGTTGCTCTTGTTAGATTAGTAAATTTATAAACGTTTAAACGCTCAATTTGCTTTAAACCAACATTGTTCAACTATTATATTTAATGTAATTCGTTGGTTATTAGGCTTTGCAGATTTATTTACTTATTGTTACGCAAATTTGTATATATAGGCAATTAAATTTGCTCAGGCTAATTAACATTTTAATTCGTTTCGCTTTATTTTAACATAATAGGACGATGTATTTTCTATTATTGGGGTAATTGGAGTTCGAAAAATTTTGAGGTTGGTGTAAGGATGCTGCATGCTCTCAATTCCGAAGTTATGAGTTTCTTCGATTTAGAAAATTAGCGCACCAACAACACCAACCCACAGGGTCATGCCTAAATTAATTTGGGTGTATTTTGGTTGGTATATATAAGATTCATTGGTATATACACAGGGTGATTCAGGTTTAATCTTGACAACTTACTTCGGGAATCAATAGAACAGATTAGAATAATACCCCTACATGATATTGAAAAATTCCCCTAAATAGCATCGTTTCGGGTAACAGAGCGTTGAAAATTTTTTTTAAAAACAATGGTTCAAAACTTATGAAAAACATTTTTTCCAACGCCCAGTCCCTCCAAAACGATTTAGGAACATTTTTTTATTTTGGAACATTATTCTAATCTTGTGTATTGATTCCCGAAGTTATCAAGATTAAACATAAATCACTTTTCGGCGGTGCTTTCGTAATGTAAAAAATCCTATTTAGCAAAAGGTTGACAATATGCGTCTATTGTAAGAAGCATTTTAATAGAGTGGGTGAGACCTATATGATGGTTTAAAATAATTGTCTCTTTAAGAGATCCCAGAAGAAAACAATTCACAAACTTAATAATTGATATACATATTTAAGATATAAACCAAATTATTTTTGTTTATTTGAACGTTAATATTTGAGTAGATTGCGTTATTAATAATTTTGAAAGCTTCTTGCAAATATTAATTACGACTATTTAAGGAAACATATCCAGACCTATCCTGTCTGGGTAAATTCCATTGAATAGTCTAAATTAATTTTTCCACTAAGCTTTCGAAATTCTCGATATCGCGGTCTACTCAAATATAAATCCTCAGAGATAGAAATAACATGTAATATTTGTACATATTTTATGTTCTATGTTAAATGTTGGCCAGGTTAATATGAGAATGACATTTTTACAGTGTCAATTAGGCGTTTTCCAAGCTATTTTTTGGGAAAAATATCGACTATTGACTTTGATGCATTTTGATTGCAAAAGGCCTGGAAAGTTAAAAAAATTTCTACTTTGGAAATAGTTGCAAATACATAGTTGTAAGAAATGTTTCAATTAGGCGTTCAGGGAGGAATTTTTGGTAACAAGGTAGGTTGATCACGAGCCTGAAGAATTCATTAAAATGCATTAAGTTAAGAAACAGGCACAGTTTTGCCTGTTTCTATCCTCTGGTTACCCAACGCAACGACTAGCGATCATTTTTATTATCCAATTTAAGCACATAAAAAGCAAGATATAAATATCAGCCATAAATAATAAGCAACGATAAATATTACCAATGATCCATTATTTTGTATAAAAAATTTTCAATCCTTGGTATAATATTTTGGAGATATAATTCAGGCATTCAGGTCATCGATGTACATATGTAATATAATTATTAAAATTACGGGGAGGATATTAAAAATGGGAGGAGTATACTCATATGTTTTATAAATAATAAAAAAAACTACTTTCATTTTCAAAAATAGACAAAAGGAACTTATCAATGTTTATATAGCAAGAACAACGAGCTAAGAATATTAGAAAGGATTTTATTAATATTCCAGGTCTTAGGAACTAGCTTCTGGTAAAAAACAGATTTCGGAAATGGTTAAGTTTAGTTTAAAGGAAACATTCGATTAGGTTTAACATTTGCAGTTAGCATTAGATTTGGGTAAATCGATGATACAGTTTTGATGGCTGATAGCAACTGAATATTGCTAAAAATATGCCTGTTTTGTCGAAATCGGGTCAAATAGTGTCAGTCATATTAAACTACCTACAGGGCAAGGAACTGCACGCAAAGTGCATTTCCGAGCGAATTGCAACAATGAAAAGGAAAATTATGGCGCCTTTAAATTAACGGTGTCAGGCGACAGACAAGATATGTATGTAAGTCCGGAATTATAGCCATAAGATGTGATAGTAAACTATTTTATGAATCTACAGCATCAAACAAGAAGCTTCAGAGTGCAAGCAGCTACATAAAAGTAAAACTTTTATGTGAACATGGGTTTTATCAGAACTAGCGCATCAATGCTTGAGGCATACAGTTTAAAAATAAATAATATTTTAGATTTTAGTCTATACAGTGGCGGATTGTTAGCAAAAAAGCGAAAGCTTATTTTACCATGTGAAGTTGGCCACGTTGTTACAAAGACTACTATACATCATAGGGTTATATGAAGTTTTGCTTATTTGATACATTTTCCAAGTGAAAATTTCTTGATATTTTAAATATTTTATCGTGTCGTGGTTTATGTATTTCAGTTATTTTGAATTTTCCTGCTTCAACGCAAAACATTTTCTCATACCAAATATGGCACAGTCCAACTATTTTTTTTTATTACAGAGCTACGGACACCTTTAAGTTTTGTAGGACCTTTGACCAGGTATTGAACATGTTGTTCAAAAATTTAGCCATTGAGACACTTAAGAAACTACCAGATAAGTGTGCTGATTCACATCACAACAACATAATGTGTATGTTAAGTACTTACATGTTGTCACTTAACCTTAAGCCAGGGCAAAAGTTCGCCTCTTAACAGCTGAGTGTCTGAGTGCAAAAACAATTCTGTTGAAGTGTTTCAAAAGAACATTTACTTAATATTGTGAAACTCACTTGATAGGTGCACCCTGAAAAGTCTTCTTTGTAAAAATGACGCTTTTTACTTTTTCCAAAAACTGTATAATTCCTGAAGTTCTTGAGAGGGCGATAGTTATATAAGCGCTCTATTCAAATTATTCTTACATTTAGCCAATTGAGTTGAGAGTTTTGGAGACATAAAGGTTGAAAACATTTTGAAAATATGAAGTTCTTTGAGGACAGGTTTACAGCACCCCTAAACCTTTAATAATTCCTTTTAGTGAAAGGAACCCCCCAATAAATTGTTTGCAAATTCTTGACAAATAAATGTTTATTAAGTTTTAAAGTTTTTTTTGTGGCCAATATGTACAAATTTGTTTCAACATTTTGGGGTCATATTAAAGCCGTAACCTATAGGAACAACATTAGGGAATGATGTTTTTAACAGTGTTAACACATTTTTGTGGCTATTTAATGGGGCGAAGCATCACCCAAGTTAAAAAAATATATATTTTAGGACAGAACTTAAGAACGATGTTCTTATTTGCACATATACTAACAATATAATCTCAAACGTTGCCAGAAAATCTTTTTCATCCATCTGAGGGTCTCGCGTGATCAGTGTTGGATAAAAGTTAATTTTTTAATTAAATATTATACTTTCATGAAGGCCAAATAGCGTCAAAAACGCGTAATTGAAGTGTTTCTTGCAACCACTCAGCAACTTTTAACCGTTTCAAAATCCTGCCAATAAAATAGTTCTAAAAACGCTTAATCCAGTGGTCTCTTTGTATTATAATTACTTAAATTTTAGTCGTCTTTATAAAAGGCAACGCAATTATCTAAAGTGAAAAATTGCCGAACTTCTTTAAGAAAATTGGAAAGGATATTTTGAGGCAAATCTCAGCTCGATATCTTCAAAATTGCCATCTCTAATCGGAATAAAGGAGTATTGCAAATATGCCAATGGAAAAGGAGAGCGCCGATATAAAGCCAGCGGCTCGATACAAGTTTGTGATATTAGCAAGAAGTAACCGGATTTGTGATAAGCCATAATATGAACATTGGCACTCAACATTGTTCTTGTGGGTGAGATTAATGTTCGTTTTAACATTATAGTACTATTTCATGTTTGTGCAAATGCCGTTGGATGCTATAATTCAGCTAATAATAGGTCCTTCAATCATCTAATCTTTGTTGACCAGTTTGAATATTCGTTTTTGCCAGTTTTGATTTCGACTAGAACTTGTCTGAGTTAACATTTAAGCTCTTTAGTAATTCGATGGATAATTGCTGACATTTGGGTACCTCTCATGTCTGCTGCTTGATTACTCAATGTAAAAAAAATAATTGTTTTACTATGGCAAGGCATGGAAGAGCAGCGTTCGTGACAAATCATACTTGTTCACGCTACTTCATAAATCATAGCAGATATGTCTAATAATAATATTGCATGTGACAAAACAAACCTAGTGAATTGTCCAGTAAGTGACAAAGAAATAGGATATTTTAAAACCAGGGACTTTTAAGTTAATTAACACGCAATTGTTGTTATTTTAATTATAACTGTAATATTGCAAACAACTACCGATTAAGTCGTTCTTCACCGTCGTAAATTCAATTTTCAATTGTATTATGAAAAACGCTGGGTGTTCGAAGGTAATTTAATTTGTATTGTGGTTTAATTTAATATGTGTTTCTCCATATGATATCCCTGTATGTTCAGGTCGCTCGAGGACCCCTGGTTCCCATTCAAAGGGCTGATTGGCTTCAGTTAATTCGATTTTGTCTTGTAATTATTCCAATTTCGGCAGGGATTTCGTCATTTTCTGTTGTGATTCGGAGGGAGTGATTGGTTTGAAATATTTGTCGATTCGAAAAAAACTGGTTCAATTATTATGAATTATGATGCTGGCGTATTAATTTTATTTAAAAGGGTAAAATTCCTACATGCAATATCTGGCGAATTATGTTGAAATAATCACATTTAATCAGGCAGAGTAAAATTGGGCACGGATAAACTGGTACGTTTTTTGGGCTTTTACGCCTCAAATCAATTTCCTCAGAGGTGTTTCAATATAAATCTTCTGCTAGACGCAGGATCAGTTCAGTGTGAGCATTCGAGCTTCGTGTGTGTGTTAGCTCAATTTCTCTATATGTTGTTTTATTATTAGAAAGTTCAATCAAATATTTTACGAACAACGACACCCATGAATTTATAATAATTTTATAAAATTATTGTTTATAGCTAAAAGAGCGATGATCAAAAACAAATTTCAAGCACACCATAAACTCTTTTACAGGTACGCTTAAGTAATGCCATATTTAAGCGATTAATTTCCTGTTTGAATTGTTACTTTAATCAATAAAGGTTGCAAAAAAGAAGACGTTGTACTGTGATTTATAAATTGACTGTTTTCAAAACTTTTGGGTATTTCAGGTTTTTTGCGAACAAGACAGACTCTTCACGTCTCACGTCTTCTATAACGAATGATAAATAGTGCTATTATTTCACAATAAAAAACACGTTCTTTGTCAAAAGGTAATCACTAAGGTAATTGAAACCTTTTTATTGTGTGTTGTCTTTTATTTGAAAATTAGATTCATTACAAATTATTTTTGATCTATCATATAAACATCACCTTTTTTACCATTAACCGATGATGTGAGTTAAAATTCAAATATCTATTTGTACGAGTTGGACTACCAAAGTTTCGAAATTGTCTACATTTCTCTTTATTAGTATGTCGAGCAAAGGAATTTGGATGTTTTTCCTCATTAGTGAGTTTAACAGTTGTTTCTTTATTGTCCAGATATGGTAAAAATTCATCAAGGTTTAGAAGATTTTTTCTTACAGCTCGAGCCTATGTGTGCCGTAGGATACCCTCTAGGTGATAGATCTTGATTATTTTTTGATAAGAAATTCGTTCATTATTGAAAAATAAGCGCATTCTTTACCAACCTGTAACAAAAGACGAGAGGAAATTATGTGTTTTAAAAAGGCAAAAATGTTGAGGCAAATACCCAACAAAATTTTGAAAACATAAATCCTTCGCAAACCGTATCTACAATCGAGTGTGGTTTCTGTATCGAAAAAACGATGCAATGAAACATGAGAATGCAAAAGAAGGTCTGATCAAAGACGTAAAAAAATGTACAAAACCAATAATTTGCAGCTACGTTTATGAAGAATGAATTGCTGATTACTACACAAGTCAATGTAAGTGTTCATTCAGCCAAATTAAACTTTTATTTTCCTTCAGCTATTTAATTTTAAGTTATGCCGTTGATTCACTACTAAACCATTACTAAAACTAAACTCTTTTAATGACAACCAAATGTGGTTGGTCTTCCTTCCTCGTCGGCGCCATCTTCAAACCTTTTCTATACTATATATATACTATACTGAATCCAGCTCTTCATTCATGTCATCAATCTCAGCCTCAGGAGAAAATTGAACGTCTCCTAGTCCTTTGTTCCGCCTTATTCTCTACCCATTTTTTCACTTTTTCCAAAACATCTTCTACTCATTCATTTTCAACATTTGCTTCCAATTTCCACTCCCGCCTTTCCATGTCACCAATCTTAGCCTCAGAATCAAAGAAAATTGAACTCCTCCTAGTCCTTTGTTCCGCCTTATCCGTTTGCGAACTATTGTTGCTGTTGTCAGATTTCGGTTACTTGCAAATCGTTTTGGGATCGTTTGAAACTATTTTTGCTGGTGGCTTTGATGGATTTTCTATTCTGCTAATATTTTTGCTGATTTAGCTTTAAGTTTTCCCCTTATCTTATTTCTTCTTTATTACTTTTCGAAGCGAACTTTGGAGGATTTTTGTTCGTTTTTAGTGTGATCTTTTCTTCTCTTGGAATCTTTGTGACAGAAGATGAAGTTTTATTGTGTTTCATCATAAGAAAATACTATTCTGAAATGCAGGTATCATTACAACTTCTTTTTGCTAATAACTATCGCTGTGCAAAAGGGCGGTTCATTTATTTTCTCATATCCTTTTCCGAGTCGTTTACTTTTTCATAGCAAAAGCCGCAGCTCTTCTATCTTTACCGCCATTTTCACTGACAGAGTAAAAAATTGATGAAATATGCTTTAAAACTTTGACCTCAATGGTCCCAACATCTTTTTTCTTCCAGTCCCTGTATTCCAGTTGGGCCTTCTGTATCACTTTCATTACGCAAAGCTGCAATCTGTTTGTATTCACGAGTAACTCGTTCCTCTACTATTTATCTATGTTAAATCATTGTGGTAAATAATGCGTCTTCATGTTTCTACGTCGATAGTCTTTATTTCGGAGCTATTGTTTGCCGGTTTTTCTTTTCCTTATATGAAACTTTCTGTTGCTCTTTTCTATCTTCGGAGAATCTAAGCGTCTATTCTCCTGTTCTTTGTTTCCATCAAAACGCATTTTCGCCTGTTCCTCCTTATCTTCTGAGCGCCTTATTTCATATTGGTGCAAAATTTCAAATATTGCCTTACTTTCATTTTTCGGTTCATATATTTGACTACTGATGTTATTTCGCAACTGTAGGTACATGAAATGCTACGGCTGAAACAGTTGAGGAATTAAGAGATGCTGCAGGAGAAAAATTGATCCGAATTCTACAAAAATCATTCAAAATATTTTACAGATCATGCCTTGGAGAATACAGGATAGAAGAAGGTGAAGAAACATCAACTGCTATTTTTGTGTCTTGAAATATTGTTACTTTATCGTTATATCTACGCTTTCCAACTAAGTCCTATAAACAAAAACAGGCTTTTTTACTAATCCAATCAAGCGATGTGGATCCAGTGGATTTCCTTCAGTGTATACACACCTGCTTCCTTCCTTTTTTGCTAATTCCCCTATGAGTCTATTGTAAATTTCAGTTTACAATTTATTTGGCAGAAAGATTAGTAAAAGAGTAGGAGTCTGGGGGTAAAAAAATCGCAAAAAGTATTTAGGAATCAAAATACAACATGAAACATTTTAAATGAAAGAAAAATATTCAGAATGTTCATACGTGTGTAGGAAGTCTTATCGAGGCGAGAAAAATCACATTCGGCTGTAGGACGCGCGGGTCGATACGATCAGAACGAATTCGGATCAACAAGCAGACAGCAAACACAACCTCCAGTTGAAATAACGACAACAATTTTAGTTTTATGAAAGGGCATTAAAACCGATCGTTTTTTACAGAAAGGACGATAAATTTTATTTATTATAACTTTCATATAAAATAAAACGCTTACCGAGATATTTTGCGTAAAAATATTTCCAAATAATTTAGCTTTGAAAATTATGCCAAGTTATGTTTATTTATTTGCATTAGTTTGTCATTAAATTCTAAAAATAACTCATTATTATTTTTCGTCCGTTTTACTCTTTGTTACTTTTACCTTTAAACTATTAGTATCGTGTCCTTACAAAAAAAACGTATTTTATAACGACACTATTTCCAAAAGAAGTTGTTGTTTTGTCCAAAGCAATTCAGGTGTCTTGAAATACAATTGCAATAAATGCTCAAATACAACGATAAATTTCTAAGTTTTGAACTTTGAAATGCGTGCAGTTAATAAAGCTGTTATTTTCAAGCGCATTGCATCACTGGCCATGCGGAAACCATTACGGGTCCTTGAAACGACTGCCATATAATTTTAACAAATGGCCGCAATGTGAAATCACGAAAATTATGAAAATTTAGTGGCTTACCTATGAGGCAATAAGGGCTCCTTAGGAATTTTAATTTACCACAAAAGCCTTGGTAGCGAGATCGGCATCCTGAGGACCACGTTCTGCAAAAATATAATTCATTAATTACTTTTGCAATTAATTCACTAATGGTTATTTAAATAAAACGGCATGTTTTCCACTGCTTTTAAAGTGCTTGTTTCCACTGATTGTAGAAAGGTTCCAGGAAAAGTCTGCTCGTTTTCCAAGCGTTAACTCTTTTGTGAGCAATGCATGAAAGGCGCAAGGAAAGAGTCATTCCAGTAACACCCTTTTATCAACAGGAAGCATTTTGTGAATTATTACTCATCTAATGCTCGCGTGAACAACTACAGGATATGCTTCTAAAATTTTTTACATTAAGAAATTAACTCACCTTAGCACTAATTCAAAGAAAAAGATGGTGCAGACGATTGATTCCATGTACACCAATACATCGCCTGCTTGCTTTTCAAATTCTTGAATAGTACAGAACACGCTTAAAGCCAAACCAGTGAAGACCAGAACAAACCTGTAACAAATGCAATTTCTATTCTAAACAAAAACAATGCTTCTTATAGAAGAAGAACGAAGAATAGTCAATTTGGAATATGAGTATCTAGTATTATTTACATTTCATATTATTACAGGGCCGCATTTGGAAAACGAACAATGCACTAAAATGACTGAATATAAAAATACATTAAAAACTACTTAAATATATTTTTTATAACTTCCAGGGTTTTTAGTATCAAGTTTTTTTACAAAGCGGCCTTGCAAAATTTCATCCAAATGAAGGGGATTTCCGTTTCAGTTAAGTTTCTCATGTATAAAAACAGTTATTTTGCACTAAACCTGGCTATTTAATTATTTGCCGATTAATATTATCACAAAATTCAATCCGTCCGACAGCAAGTTTCTGAAAATATTTATGGGAGTAAAGTTCCTGGGAGTATTTGAAATATATTTTTTCCTTGAAGCCTTAGAGCCAATTGTTCGTTTTGCAATTTATACCCTGTATATTAACTTAACTAATATTTTAATTAAAATGCACCTCTATTGACGCACGCGGCCGATATTTGGGTTATCTAATCACGATCTACCTCGATTTAACGTAAGCTGCATTTGATGAAATCTATCAACGATAACTTCAATTGCAGCCGCTAATATTTTCAAAGTCCGTCCAAAGCTGTTCAATTAGAAGATATACAAGGAAGCTAATTTTAGTTCAATTTACTGTACGTACCTCCTCAAATAGTAAACGGAATCGCAATTATATCCATCGGAATTTATTAGCAAACTCTAGCCTAAACTAAACTGGAGACAAAGACATTGCAATTGACTATTGACTGTTGAATGTACACAATTTACTTCTGACAATATTATTATCAATGCTACTTAAGAGAGTTTAAGTTCATTGAAGGACTTCTTAACTCGTAGTTGGATATTTTTTGGTTGTGTAGTTTATTCATACAATCTTACTTTTTATTATTTCTGGCTACCCATTTTTATTATGATTGTGTCTTGCATGTTGCATGTTCTAACTTAACCGCATAAAATTAAGAAACTATAGCCTGAGGCAAAGTGTAATAGGAAACGAAAAGGAAATTAGTAAAATATTTCTGCTTTTGGAAACAAAATGTAAAATAAAAAAGGTGTGCGTCACGGGTCGCTCGACAAAAGTGATAACTTCATATTAATAATAAAAACCATAAAATATCGAACTTGTTTAACGTACAATGGCAATACTAATTTTTGAATTTAAGAGTTCTCCAACTTCTTTTCGCTTTGCAATGTATCCGCAACCCAATAGTTTTTCATTTTTAACTGTAATCGCCTTCTCACTAGATAACTACTTTCCAAAAAAAATCAGCCCTTATTATTAACAATTGTATAATTACGCTGATTATTATATAATTTCACTGTATAAATGTGCTTATTTGATATAACAACAACATAACAATACATGACCAATTCCTACGATAAAAAAAACGCCCAGTGGACGATGCCCACATGCGAAATCTGACGAAAGCCTTCCAAAGGATTTTATTCTAAGGCCGAAGGTTCCATTTTACTTACAATGGTTCGAGCAAATTCGTACCAATGATTTAAGATCTGGTGGACGAGATTCTATACATTGTAATTAAATTGGATCATTCCCTCATTTTCGCACGATTTCTGACGAAAACGCACCCAAAGGACACCGGCCCGCGGTCTACACACTGTTAAATTCACAGGAACGGACCACAGACTATTATAATTAAAGACCGGATAAAAAAGCACAAAAAAATGGAAAAAAGTGCCTAAAAAAGCATGAAAATATTTTTAAAAAGCACAAAAAAATTAAAAAAAGTGCTTAAAAAAGCACAAAATTAAAAA